ATTAATCCTAGATAATTATTAAGATTTTTTTTTAGTAATAACATTATAGGTTTGTTATTATTTTCGCATTTAGATGAATGCATTATTTGTATTTTATTTATTACAATATTAAATTGAGGTAATAAAAAAGATAATGTTATTACTCATACAGTAAACTCCCAAAAATTAATTTCGTAAAAATACATAAAGGTAATTATCTACGTCGTTCGCTAAAAAATTATAGTATTAAAATTTACGATATTTATATTTGCAAATAATGTCAATACTAGAATTATCTGAAAAATATTTACTCTTATCGCATGTGAGTAAAATAGCAATAAATTAAAATTATAGAATGTTTTAATGGTAGTTATAATTTGTATAATGAAAAATATCGAATGTTTTAAAATAAAAAATGCAATTAATAAACATGTTGTGCATAATAAACACAAATTTCAAATTGCATTCTCAAATTCATTGACCGTAATAATTTAATAAAACCGACCTTAATAATTCATTACCGTAAACTCAAGCGAGAAGGTAAAAACTAGTAAAATAAAATAAATAAAATAATATAAAACTGACCTTTACACATAATGATTAGCAGCATTTAATATTTTTTGCACTTTCATATATATATTATGAAATGATAAGGTAATCAAATATAAATATTTGGGAGAATGCGAATCTAATAATGCAATAACGATTTTTTGATAATGGGTATTTTTTCGTAGATATTAAGTAGATAAAATATCTTATGGAAAATCAGAGATTCAAAATTCACACATATACATACACAAAGGGTCAGGTTCAAAAAAGTTCTATAGGTCATTTGGAGAAACTTTACCAAAGAAACCATATATCAAAATTTTTAATAAGTTTTTTCTGCATATATTTAAGTACAAACTTGGAGGTAAAGCAGCAGGTTTATTTGTCTTCGAATTTGATAAACTTTTCGTGGTTATACATATAGAAGCAAGAATAAGCGGAGGTTTTCGTAGTTATTATACCCAGGCAGTATTGAGTCCGACATACCTAGACAAAAGACCTAGTCTGTTATAGGTAACACATTTCTTTTGCTATACAAAAAACATACTTGTGTAATTACAATGCAAAATTGCATTTATTAGATAATGAAATTAACGAATACAAATTGTCCAATGTAGTTAAATATCTGGGATACTTTGGATAGGAGACTACCCCGGCATGAACATATACTTAAGAAGCGCCAGCAGCTCGAACTAAAACGTAGGTAATTCAATTGGTTAATGAGCTGGAAACTACAAGTCTCATAGAAAATAAATTCCTATATACAAGACAATCATTAAACCAATTTGGTCCTACGGTCTACAACTATGGGGTGCGGCCATAATTCAAACATAACTATTCCACAGAGGTTACAAAACAAAATTTTGAAAGAAATAGTGAACGCTCCAAAATATGTCCCTAACCGGTTAATACATCAAGATCTCAGAATTCCAGCTATAGAAAAAGAAATTAATCATTACTGCTCCAGATACAAAGCTCGTCTATAAAAAAAAAATTTTACATCCGATATTTCAACATTTGCGATTTGTCTATGAATACGTCTGTGGCTGTAAAAACAAAATTGAAAATTAATTACTGGATTTCTACTAAGCAATCATATACTGCGGTGCATAATATCCGATTTCCCTGACTTGAAGATCAGGGAATGGTTCTTGAATTTAGAAATCTTTCATCAGTATTCGCTAAAATTGCATTAAAAATCTCTAAGCAAATTCCAATCCAATATAAAACTGCAATTTATATTTTATCCAATTATCACCATATTGCGCATTTAAAAATTATCTACCTCTACGCACGTAATACCTCGTGAAATCATCTACCCATGGAACTCCATCAAATTTTATCATCATAAAAAACGAATATTCGATAAAACAATATGTGTATATTTATTTATCAAACGATGTATTATCAAATCGAAGAGGGAGAGATATAGTATAACAATCAAACAACAATCTTGCCGAAATCAAATGCGATCGGTTGGTTCTTATTGTGTTGGCTGTGAGTGAAGGTGCACATGATCTGCATCGTTATATAGAATCCGTGAATTTTATTAAATGCTATTACCGCCGCTGGAATCGGTTGTATTGTGTCAAAACATAAAGTGACAACGTGATAAAAGTGATTTGTGAAACGATAAAAAAATTGAAAAAAATACTAAAAAAAATTTCATGTGATTAGAGGTAATCTGAGTGAACAACACTTGCTTAAATGTTCGTTTAAATCATTTTATTATTAATATTAAATTTACTGTTTTATTACACATGTACTGACTGAGTACACAGTATAAATCCCGTTACATGAATCGACAAGACTTACGTTTTACTTTCTCTTATTCTAATCAATCTCACAGCGTTCTCAAGGTTGATCATATTCTAAAAAACTTTATAATGTAAATAAACAAAAGATCTCGAATGGGTAAAAATCATTTTTTACTATAACTAACCCTTGTGCAAATAATTTTCTTGCTGGATCTTGATATTCCAAGAGCTTCTGAAAAGCTTTCCTGCAAATTTTACAAAAATGCCTTTCCCAAACTCTTTCATTTTCAATTTTTCAAAAAATTTCATAACCATTTTTTTGCACTTTTACCTCCATATCTCCGAAACGGCTGGGCCTGTCTTTTCCAAAAACTAATCAGCACGAATTTTGAATAGTAATTTGCTCAAAATTTCAGAAAATCATGGAAATTGAAAGCGAGATTATGCTTGAGTTTATCTCTATTTTATGTGTTGATTATGATTACATTAGACATTATAAAAAGTGTAAATTTTAAAGTGTAATTTCAAAATTAACAAAATCTTCACTTTGTCAATATAAGCAAAATGCTTTTTGAATCATTCTAATCGGATGCTCCGTTCTCTCAAAAACTGAATAGCCATTTATTTGCATTTTTTCCTCCATATCTCCGAAACGGCTGGACCTTAGCAAGTTCATTAAAAGCTCTAACTAATAACGTTGCCATTTCCGTAATATTTTTCAAAAACAAGTAGAGTATTTTGTCTTCCCTTCCAATATTTTCCATAGCAGAATCTTAATAAAAATGTCTATATCTGATTATATTCAAAATATAAAGTATTAAAACTTTTATTTTATTAATTGCAAAATAATGAATATTTAATTCAACATTCACTTGAAAGGTCCGAGAATAAATTATACTAAAATTTACATTTTTTAACAAACTTGTTCAAATTTCAAGTGTTTATAAACACCAATCTCTATATCGATAAATAAAATTGCCCAACCAATAAATTCAGGCGCATAGAAAGCGGATTTTTATATTTATTGACGTAACAAAAAGCAATAGGTAGAATATTTTGCAATAATGATATTAGACACAAAATAATTCTGTTAAAAACTTTCATAAATTCATAGTGCAATCGGTATAGTTTAAATCAACCAGAACATTTTTTAATGCACTGCACTAAAAATAACTCGAATTTTTTGTTGTGGCAGACGTAAAAGTGAGTTATCATAACAATACAGTAATTAAATATTTTTTAAAAGGTAATTAAACTGTCATTTGTTTCTTTATGCATTAGTATTAATCTCACAATATGTTTCGGAATTTCTCACACATGATGGTTTTGTGTGGAACCTGTGAAAGTATGCTGCTATTGATATTTAAAGTTTTATTAAAATATTTACTCAAGAAAACCAGGGATAGAAAATAAAAAAATAAATTTATAATATATAGAAAACTTCCATATTTTCATTGAAAATTTAACTTTTATAAGACCAATGTAAACATATCAAAAAACCACAAAATGATTTGTGTCAACACCCAAAGTATAAGTAAGCTCAAGTTTTATTCTTTGATTAAATTTTAATTTTCTGAAATTTTATAAAATTAATTATATATGTTTTAGGTTAAAGTTAAATTATTTACTCTATATTTTGATTTGTTTAGAAATATATCTACTCTATAATTTACTTCTATATTAATGTACTAGCGGTTTCAATTGTAATGCAAACAAATATCAAATGATGTCTGTTTAAGGTCATCGAACTTTACAACCAAATTCAAAGAGTAAAAACATAGTATAAACTAAAAATGATCAATATAATTTACTACTTATCACTAATTTACTAATTTATACGCAAAATATTTTGTCCCCAGAAAGTGCCAAATATTTTGTCCACGTTTTAGCCTAAAATCCTGAATCCAATTGAAAATTTCAAAAATTGGTTGAAATATATGAGATAGAAATCGTGCTGATTAGATTTTTTATAAAGATCTGCCGCACCGTTTCTTCGTAATCATGTTTAAAATTAATTATTGTTGAAAAAGTTGTATTGTGATTAATATTGTTGAAGAAGTTTGTTTGGATGTTTTATGAAACTGTTTGGTTGTTTTTTTAAAATCAGAGGTCTCAATGAAAATCCTTAATTATTGTAGACCTACAAAAAGTGATCTAATTATTAAAATTAATTAACATATTAACCGCCTTGTCAATCATTATATCTGACCTTTAGAAGTTTTACAAGAGCCATGTCAGACATACGCAATTTCGTAGAAGAAGGAAAAAGTTATACAAGACCATGGCAGTCATATATGTGTGACTTAAAGAATAATGTTTGACCAGGAATTTTGGCAAAAAATGCATAAAGTTTCCTTACATTTTTCCATACATTTTTAATTAAATTATCGAATAAAGCAAGTTTTTAGAGTATTTTTAATCTTGTTCACAAATTATGATAATTTAAGAACCAGTTCTTCCCAGAAAGCAAAGTTCCCAATTTTCGCAATACCCAAAATAGTTACTTATCTTTGTATATTATTTTTACATTGAAACAACAGCCTCATTATTGCCCGTAGGGCAAGTTATAGTAATCGCAAAAAAATCGAAAATGAAAATTTTAATATATTAATTAATTTAATATACATTTACGTTGCAAATGTTTTTGAACATTTTGGCATACCTTAGAAAAAATGGATGCGTGTGTGTGTGCGGATACAAGTTTTCGTCGACGATTTCGGGAACACGGATGAAGCGATTTGAATAATTCGAAAAACATTCGATTGGTATTGATAAGGAGATGTGCTGATTAGTTTTTGGCGAAGGCAGGTCTAGCCATTCCAAAGATATAGGACAAAAAGTGCCAAAAACGGTAACTCAGTTTTTAAGAGAACGGAGCGTCCGATTTGAATCATTCAAAAAACATTTTACTTGTTGACAAGATGAAAAACTGGTCAAATTTTCATGAAGGCAGGTCTAGTGGTTTCGAAGATCTAGTAAAAAAAGTAAAAAAATGCCATTTGGCAGTCAAAAATAATCATTAGACATATGCACATCAAATTATCAGATATTTTATAGAGATTTTAACAATAAGTATAAATTTTGTTTACATTCCTATGGGTTTCGTACCAATGTTTATCCGTTAGACAACGATGCAAAAAAGTTCAGAATTTCCAAAATATTTCAATATAAACTTTTCTTTAAAAAAAAGTAAATTTTTGTCAAAAATCTAATTTTTTCATAGTAAATTTTTTTCAAAAATGTTAATCTTTTTTAAAAAAAATAATTTTTGGTACGGGAAGTACCAGCAATTTGCCTTAAGGCACGATGCCATGCGCCCCACTAGTTGTATATTATTTTTACGTTAAAACAACAGCTCTATTTTCTATAGTTTTCTCTATGAAACTGTTCTCTACCCCTGTATAAACGTGATGAAACATTCTAGTTGTGGCATATTGCAAGCACATGCGGCCTAAATCAATGTGTGAGTGATCATAGGAAATGGAAGAATCCAAATCAACAACGAATATCATTGCCAGTGGAACTGTGTTGGAAACCAGGTCTAACTCTGACTTGTACCAGACAACTTACGAGTTCGATTCCCGAGAGAAATGGAGGATATTAAGAAATGTTGTGGTCGTCAGTGTGGCTTTTATGATCAATTTTACGGCATTTCAGGTAATTTCATTTAATCATTTAATAGTAATAAATAAATATCAATATGTGTTTCATTGGATTCGTCGTGGCGAAGATCGTTAACGCGTTTACTTTGTCTAGGGCAGCACTACCCATTATTATTATTATGTGTTTCATTCTAACCAACAAGTAGAGAAGTGTGATTGAATAATGGCATATTGATCCAGGTATAGATAGTTCTAAATCCTATTGTAAATCCTTAATAGTTTATGGTTTTTCCAGGAACCATGGAAACCATTAAATTTGTTGGTGATGGTGAGACACCACCAAACAGTGGTTTTAATGGTATCTATTTTGTTGGTAGTTTTGGTATTCGTGATCATGTTGTTACAAAGCATTGTTTTGTTTGATTCAACTTATATTAGGCAATTTGGCAGAAAAAAATTGTACTTCTATTCATTTGTAATTTTTGTTTAACTTGCAATTCATTGTTGTTGGTTTTATATGTACAACAATCATTTTATCAAATGGTTCATTTTAGAGATATATCTGATTAATATCTTAGCCAATTTTATCTTGATTGCATTGACGTTGATTCTTGTAAAATTATGAAATTATAAATGTATATGATCAAGCAGCTTTCAGATCATTTATGCTCTGTTTTATTACTTCGATTGGTTAAAAAATAAAATTATAGAGTAGCCCTTACTACCTAAAATCTGTGATAATTCACTCACAATTTATAGACGGATAACTGGACAAATATATAAAATATTGTTAAAACAAATTCATAAAAAAACCATATGACCTATTTTTAATCTGTTAAATAGTAAAAATCTATTTTGTCTCTTTTTTCTCCTTTTTGTACCATCACCCCTTGACGTGGATCCTAGGTCTATTGCTCCATCAATTATTATATTACGGCGGTATTAAAATATTTAAGTTTATACCTTCCATAATTTTAAAATTTACATTCTAAAATAATTTTATAAATGCAGCTTTAAATTTTTCTGACAACTTTTCTATTATCTTTCAATTATTAGACTTTGAAATCTGCGTTTGGTCACGCAGAACAAGAATGCGCTGTTAATCTCACGTTCAATCAAAAAATCAAAACCGTAAAAATTACTTGTTGAATTATTAAAGAAACATTAATTTAAATTAAATTAATTAAAAATTTACATTATATACCTATTAGTTATTAAAATGTAAAGTTTTGTATCCTTGACCAATGATTTATAATCTGAAATACCCAACTTTTGTTTTTAATATGCGTTTATATTAGTTAATATCATTTTATTTTCGACCATCGAGGGGTTAACACGTCGAAGACATGTTATAATATTTAAATTAATTAAATCGATTACTTTATACGTGTATATGTTTATACGTGTATTAAGTATTGTTCGAACTTACTACTTTAAAATATCCTAAAAATTTGTACTATGTTGTGTTATCTGTGCTTTCTCAAAATTGAGATAATTGACAGATGGAGTCAATCGGTAAGTTCGGTGAGTTCTCCAGATAATTCAAATTATATTGTGGGATTGTTATAGTTGACTGTAAAGTGAGGACAGAGTTGTTCCAAAATTAACAACAGAGTTGGCAATAGCCAAATCCAAGTTAATTGGCAAAATTAAATGATCACCTTCATCAGCTGCTCCTATACTTCTGGTCTTCTAATCTTCTTGTCTCATCAGCTCCTAAAGTTTTAATTTTTCGTCTAGTAGATCATGGTTTGAGACTTCGAGTTTTCAAGTGGTCTGCTAGGTCCTAAATCCATCGGAATACTTGGAATAATTGATTCAATTTTTTTTAGGATAATTTATCATTGTTTTCAGTCTCTACCTACAACAACAGACCTGATTTAACGCGGAAAATATTTTGATTTTAACACGTTATCTATAAAAACAAATATGTACCAGCAATAAAGTCTGAAGTGCGTAGTATTTGATATTATTGTTACGCGATAATATTTGCTTTAACATAGATCTATTGTTTATCTATCACAGATTGTCTTATTATATAATGGGAAAACTAATTATTCAACTGCATCTGTTATATAAATATAACTATTGTAATCATTTTTAATTTACACGCTATGACAAACTTAATTATTTCTAAAGTGCATTGTTGCCATACCATACAAATTACAAACATTTAACCTCATATAAATAGTATGGTAATGGACATATTTTCTTCATTTTGTTAAGTATTTTAAGGAAACAATCAATCTGTTAATTAGTAGCAGGTACATAAATTAAAAAATCCTCAGTTTTCAAATATTCCATATGACTGCATGATTTAATTTATTTCTCAAAATTGAAAAGGCTTACTACTGGATAACTTTTCAAAACTTCAATTGGGCAAATAATGTGCATGTATCCCCAAAATCACTGGATGACTGATTGCAAAAAGTGCCCAAATCTAAAAAATATTAAAGTTTCAATTTTGTTTTTATTCTATATCTACTTTTATACGTCGATCCATATCTATAATCTACATCTTGTTCTTCAACGATATTGGGCGGAATCCAATGTTTCTCTTCAAAATGTATTTAGTAAAAAAAAAAAATACTTGATTTAATGTTCAACTAGTTCTACCCGTTCACGCTTTGTCGTGTAGATTAAAAAGTTGAACAAATATGTGTATTTGTTACATTTAGTTTAACGTTACTACTATCTGTTTAACAATTTACCCATTCAACAATCTGTCTACGAATTTACCTATCATTTTGTTAATCAATCTACCATTTTATCGGCTTACCAATTTACCTGTCAACTTATTTACCTATCAACCCGTTCCACATGTTTACCAATTTACCTGTCAACCTGTTTATTCGTCTTGTTATTTGACTATCTTCCAGTTGTTCTGTCCACCATTTTACATATCCTCCAATTTACCTCACCAATAGCTATCCAACAAATTACCTTTTCACCAATTTACCTGTCTACCAATTTACCTGGCTGTCAATTTACCTGTCTACCAATTTACCCGCTTTCCAATTTACCTGTCATCCCGTTCTAAATGTCTACCAATTAACCTGTTCAATAATTTACCTGTTGAACAATTACCCTGTTTAACAATTTGTCTACTAATTTACCTATCAACCTGTTTATCAATCTACCATTTTACCGACCTACAAATTTACCTGTCACTCCGTTCTACATGTCTACCAATTAACCTGTCAATCTGTTTATTTGTCTACATATTCGTCTATCTACCAGTTCTCCACTCCACCATTTTACATATCCTCCAATTTACCTGTCCACCAGTTTACCTTTATACATTCTCTAATTCATCTTATTTATTTACGCATTATAAACAAATTAAACCTCAAATTGATTCTACGTTTAAGTAAAAAAACGTTTATATGTAAAAATGATAAGGGTTTTCCCGGCAATTATTCGCTGTAAGAACCATCCTTGGACTTCAACGAACATTTAAAAAAAAAGAATTGGCCAAATTGGTTCAGGCGTTGTTGAGTTATACGCTTGCCAACACATTTTGCGATTGATTTTTATATTATTGTCTGATATTATCATTTTTGACCACAATTTCCTATATCATATGTCATTTACCAGGGTGCTGCCAATCTGCAGAGTTCCATAAACGCTGACGCAGGGCTGGGTACCGCCTCATTAGCGACAATATACGGATCACTTATCTTATCAAATGTCTTCCTTCCCGTTCTCGTCATCGGGTGAGTTGAATTGAATAATTATTATCATTGACATAGATAAATAAAATTCACTAGAATAATTTAGCAATCGTTCGAGATTAAAGTAAATTTAATTTAGGACAGTAAAATAATTTATTGGTTACGAGCCTCTATTTCGAGTGATATAATAATATTGATTAAATTGTTGGGTAATCCAGGATTGACGTTATCACATTGCGAATGCTTATCTATTGGAGATTATTGGAGATAAAGTACTGTTTTGGTGGAGTTTATGAACGTAATAATGATTAGATATTTTTTGGAAAATATAGTTTTATTTACAAATTTTATCTATTTTGGCTTCTAAACTCTTCGATCTTTTCTAGATGGTTGGGCTGCAAGTGGGCCATGGCCCTTTCCTTCATCGCCTACATGCCCTACATAGCCGCCCAATTCGGGCCCAGTTTTGGAAGCATGATACCAGCCGCCCTCTGCGTGGGTTTCGGAGGTGGCCCATTATGGTGTGCAAAATGCACTTACCTAACAGTTTTGGCAGCAGCCTATGCCAAAATAACAGACGGTAAAAGTCCTGATGCTCTAGTCGTTAGATTTTTTGGACTGTTCTTTATGATCTTCCAATTTTCACAGATTTGGGGAAATCTGATCTCATCCTTAGGTAAGAATATGAAAGTGATTCCCGTATATTCAAAATTTCTTCTGCGTCATTATATGTCAATATTCACAAGTAACATAATAAATAAAGATTATTTGTGCTATCCATGATTCAATCAACTTAAGCAAATATTTAAAAATATCCGTAAATTTGAATTTGAAATATTCTTGCTGGAAAGCGTAACTCCGATATTGGGCGGAATCCAATGTTTCTCCTTGAAATGTATTTAGTAAAACAAATTACGCCATTAAGCAAAGTCAACATTAGCTGCCTTTTTCAATTTTCTTAAATAACAAATCCATTATCTAAGTCAAAATTATCAATATAATCCATTCCAGTATTATCAAGTGATGATGGTTCAGCACCACCTCCGATAAATACGTCCTTATTGGAATATTGTGGAGCAAATTTTATTTCTGGCAACGAAGCAGCTGCTGGAAATTCAAATTTAGAACCACCATCTGAAGAAAAAATTTACACAATTGCCGGAATTTATTTGGCTTGCATGGTTACAGCTGTTATTGTAATTGCAGTTGGAGTCGATTCATTAGAAAGGTAAAAAATAAAAAAGATTCAAAAATGTCTTATTTATGAACTAACCATATTTTGTTAAACTGATCAAAGGAATGAAATCAGCAAACATTTATTTATTGCTAGTTAAATTTTCTATATTTTATTATTTCCAGGTATGAGTCAAACAGACAAGGTAGTGGCTCTGGTTTATCTGGATTTCAATTGCTAGCTATAACTATGAAGCTTTTGAAGGAACCTTGGCAATTACTCATTTTACCAATGACAATATATCTAGGAATCTCTCAAGCATTTATTGGTGCTGATTTTACAGCAGTAAGTAGATGAACAAAATAAATTAAATCAAATAATAAAAAATGGCCTTATGAAATCTTTCCATTAACAATTTTTTCTATGTCTTGTTTACTTCATAGAGATGAAAACTATATTACTGACTTGATCCAATAAAAATAATTATATAAATTTTAAATTAATAATAATGAATATAATAAAAAACTGTCTTGGAATCTTTTAATTGATCGTGTTTCCTGCATTTTGTTTACCTACTACTGGAGATGAAAAATATATTACCTACTGATTTGCTCCAATAAGCGAATAATTATATGCTTTGGTTATTATGCAAATTTCAAATTTATAATTTGTTATTTTATTCAATAGGCCTATGTATCCTGTGCATGGGGTATCAGTAATATTGGATTTGTGATGATATGTTATGGAGTATGCAATGCAATATCAGCAATTTTTCTGGGATGGTTAGTCAAGGTAAATCATTAAGGTGAAACCAAGTGACAAATATTTGGTTTAACAGTTATTTATACATATTAAATAAATTCGTGATGTGAAAATTAACATATATGATATAAGTCGAACAACGATTTAATACGTTTATTTATACAAAAAATATGTTTCCTTATGCAAAGACGTTGCTACCAGCATGTGACTGTTGACATCAAAATTGATGACAAAAAATCATAATTGAAGAAGCATAATTAATTGATTAATTTCTATTAAAGATAACAGGAAGACTGCCAATAGTTTGTGCAGCTGCTATAGCTCATACAGGAATTGCAATTGGGCTATTATTATGGAAACCGAATCCAGTTGACCAATATGTCTACTTTTTATTTTCTGGAGCTTGGGGAATTGTTGACGGAGTTTGGCTTGTACAAATTAATGGTAAATAAAGAACACAATTGTGAAAATCATTATTTTATCACGTGGGCTAGCACAAATTAGTCCCTGTTTCGACTCCAACATCAACCAGCTCCTCAATATAAGGCAGTAGCAGTATGTTGCCAAAATTTCTCGTTCAAAAAATTACGTAGACTCATTTGGTTTGTTTCTTTTTCAAGTATCAATTATAATGATTATGATTTACTTTTTCAGCATATTGTGGAATTCTTTTCCCTGGCCGAGAAGAAGCAGCCTATAGCAATTTCCGTCTATGGGAATCTCTAGGATTTATTGTTGCCTACGCTTATAGTACCTTCATCAGGACAGATGTAAAAATTTATATAATTTTAGCAGTCCTTTGGATAGGTATGACAGGGTATATAACGACAGAAATATCTTTTAAGAGAGCAAAAAATCGAGGAGTAGATTTACATAAAAGACATTAATTTATATAGAAAATTATAGCTTTTTTATAACTGATAAATTAAAATTATTTAATATGTAATATAATTGTTTTAAATGAAAATATGTATTTTTCTGAACTACCTTGTTATATTAGAATAGTTTTATGAATAGACTGTTCTGATATAGGCAAATTTATATTTTTTATAAAAAATGTATTGATTTCAATTTTACTATTGAACATGTGATGTATGATAATTTAGGTATTAAATCAGTTTGTTTAAACTGTAATCAGTCATAATGCACTCAACTTTATAAATAAACACACAATTGCAAATATAATTTAAAATTTTATTATTTATGATTAAAATAATTATAATTAATATTATATAGAAACCACTGAAAATTTTAACTTGATTTAAGATTTAAAGTGACATTTAATTTTTATTTACTAAAGTTTATTATGCATGTATCTATTTATTACGTGTACTATATATTTTGTAGATGCATATATTTACATACCTCAAAGATGGCCATTATGTAATTTTAATTATCGGAAATATCTTCTTAATGCAAATATGTTATTAATAATTGTTTAATTGTTCTTTATTATTTTTTGTCATCAGAAACGATCAGGGTCGTCATGTACATAAACCATAAAAAATCTAATTCAAAATTTATCAAAAAATGTCATTTATTTAGTGTTAACAAATATTTGTTCAGAGAAAATAAATATTTTTAAACAACCTACATGTGCGTATATTTTTTCATAATTAGAAAAATGACTATTCGAATATGTTTGATATTTTTAACTTCCCGTAGGGTAAGTTATTGTAATCATCCAAAAATCGAAATTGAAATTTTTTACATTTCTTCACGGTTTGATGGTTTCTGAACATTTTGGCATACCTCAGAAAAAATGGATTGTGTGTGTGTATGTATGTGTGGATACAATTTTTCGGTCACGTTTTTGGGCGCACGGATCAACCGATTTGAATAGTTCAAAAAAAATTCGATTCCTATTGATAGGGAGATGTGCTGATTAGTTTTTGGCAAAGGCAGGTCCAGCCGTTTCAAAGATACGGAGCAAAGAATGCAGAAAATAGAAATCGAGTTTTTGAGAGATCGGAGCATCGGACTTGAATGATCCAAAAAACATTCAATTCGTAATGACGGGGAGAAGTGGTGATTAGTTTTTAGCAAAGGCAGGTCCAGCCGTTACGGAGTTACAGAGCTAAATGTGCTAAAAATGACAGTTTTTGAGAAAACTAAGCGTCCGATTTGAATTATTCAAAGAACTTTCTGCTTGTTTTAACAAAATAATTGCATTTGAAAAAAAAATACATTTTTTTTGTAGATCGAAAATAATTCAGATTCTGACTTAAGTTCTAATATACTTTAAACAAATATTTTCAACTTTGTAATTCAGTTTATATAATTCTTATAAATATTAGACAATATTACGATATTTATAGTAATCCATTTGAAAATATTTAATATTCTTCGGACATTTCGTTACGGTACGGGAAGTTCCAGCACGATGCCATACACACCACTAGTTATTTTTCATATCATAAATATATATCGATAAAAAAATTCGGTCGATTAATCTTACAGAACAACAATAAATTCATATCGTAATCAAATATTTAATCATCGATTTAATTGAACATTTGATCAATTTTAGTAATTGTATTTTATTTTTCTAATTTTTAATCCATACTATGTTTTTTTTTTGTTAAAGACGCGTCGTCTCGTCTAGAAATATATTAAATTCCTCATAGACTATTATTGATGTACTGTAATTAGTACAATAAAATAAAAAAAAAACTAAATGATGTTCAATTATTATTATCTTGTATGAAGTTATTTCTAGCAAAAAACGTTTTCGTTTATCAAAGGTGAGTAACTATCTCAACAAGCTTTTGTAATAAACATGCCAATAAATCCGTCAAAGTATGTGAATCTAATAAATAGTACTACGTTGTTTCTTGTTTATTAATTGAAAATTACAATACAAAGTTCCGATCAATAAACATTGAAGATTCTTTTAATTTAATGCATTAAGTAATTTTTCAATACATGGATATTGTTAGTTAAGTTACGGAGTAAAAACACTTTAGAAAAAATGGACAAAATAATTTAAAATGGAATTAATTTTATATAATAGTTGGTCGTGATAATAAATAAGTGTTCTTAAATAAATTAAGCTTTAAACCAGGTTTTTTAAAAAAAATCAATTACCTTGAAGCCAAGGGACATCTAATAGATCCCAACCCGCACTTTATGAAATATTATGAACCCGCATTCAAAATTACACAATATTTTTATTTTAAAAAAGTATGTTTAGATAAAGATTAAAAACCTCATTTAATTGCGTATTATGCTCGCTTTATAACAATGAAAAATATATAACTTTTAAATGAAATTGACAAAAAATTAACTAGATTCACAAAAACGAAGAATCAGACACTTTGTCGTACCGAGGATGAAATTAAAACTAGTGGTGTATGGCATCGTGCCTTAAGGAAAATTGCTGGAACTTCCCGTACCGTAACGAAATGTTCAAGGAATATTAAATGTTTTCAAATAGATTATTATAAATATTGTAACATTGTCTAGTATTCATAAGAATTATATAAACTGAATTGCAAAGTTGAAATTATTCGTTTAAAGTGTATTAGTATATTAGTCGGAATTACAATTAAAATCTGAATTATTTTCTATATACAAAAATGTATACTTAAAAAAAATTGAAACTAAAATTTTTATTCACTTGGAATTCCTAATTTATCATCATTTTCAGCATGTTTAAAACATATCCAATAACAAATCTCCATTCTAAATAATTCGATAAAATCATTTTCCTTACATAACATCCAATTAATCCTTCCCGAATCATATTTATTTTACAAGAGTAGATATAAATTTACTTAAGAATCCATTATCATAGCAATTTATCAACTTAGATGCAATTATGGGATAAACCTACACATTTTATCGTAATTCTTTTAATAATTAACATATCAAGTGAAACCATTCAGAAGTAACATAATAATTATACATAAGTATAATGTTACTTATAAAAGGTGTTTTGCAAATTATACTACAATATCAGTAAATGCCACACCTTCCTATTAAGGAAGTTGGATACAAGAAGTATTTATAATATGTAGAACCAGCACCTAAGATGAACTAAGTTTCATCAACTTCAGGATTCATGTAAATTATCGACTACAATCAATAAATCGAAGAAATTAAACATTTTTAAATTTGTGGTGATCAATTTTTCAGCCTTTATTCCAAGTATTAATGAACTTTTATTATTAAAACACTACTATAATAGGGCCATTAATCACGTGATCGATTTTTTAAGTTTTTTTAGACCCCCTCCCCCATGGGGATACGTGATAACATTACGTGTCTTTTTAATTACGAAAAAAAATGTAATTTTTTATTCCTTTTTAAATGTAAACGAAATATTTTGCACATTTTGTTAATTATAGTAGACATAAAGAAGATTCGACTATTTTTGAAATTTTTAAATAGGAGCAGATTTTTTAAAAAACCTCGACGAAAGGTGAAATTTTGGACCACATCACGATCAAACACATATTTTTTCCACTTTTGGTCTCGAATGACTTGAAAAGTCTAGAAAATATAAAATTACCAAACCAGATATTTTAATATAAAAATAATCCACCAATAACCAACCCTACTCGTCTTCAGGAGCAGGCGTTTTTGAAAAAAACCTCGACGAAAGGTCAAATTTTGAACCACATACACGATCAAACACATGCTTTTTCTAATTTTGGTCTCGAATGACACAAAAAGTCTAGAAAATATAAAATCAGCAAACCAGATTTTTGGTTACTAGTTAGTTACTAAATTAGTTCTATGTTTCCTAGATTTTTGAATCCAGTTTGATCTCACTATGATATAACAAAATTTACAAAGTTCGAAGCCACAAATAATGAAAATGTAATTTAAAAAAAGAGTGCGCGTAAGGTTCACACGCGATTGAAGTAAAACTTATTTGCTACTGTACAAGATGGCATTTAAGTAAACATAAATACGTCATATAACAATTTTCAATAATGTTTATTAGTAATATGGTAACACTCGTGGGGCACAAATTTATTAGTGTCAACCATTATACACATTTATATAAAGATAAATTATAAATTATATATTTATAATGGCATTAAAAATATGTATAATATTTAAAATCAACAATGTAATTAAAGTGATACTTCAAATATGACATGATCGGTTTGTCATTGTAATTAGCATTTAGAAATGGACCTTCATTAAAGAAATGAAGTAATTGCTGATTAATAACTTCTATAATATTCGTTTACTTCAAAAATATGTATTGCATATTTAAAAAAATATTTATAAAAATGCATAATCCACCAATAGCCAACCCTACTCGTCATCTAAAATCCGCCATCAACTTAAACCATTAATCACCAACAAGGATACAACATTACATCAGTAGTCCGGACAAAGAACAAACATCCTAATGGTCATTTTAAACAATTCATATGTAATGCAATTTATATACATTAGTCTTTTGTCACGACCATCTACTCAGCTGGAATAATTTTTTATTATAGAGATCTAACACGAGCGGCTGTTTGTAAATATATAATCATTCATTTGTTATTGTTTCGCATTGTTTCACGGTATTTAAACAAACTCAGGTGCTATAAGATTCAATAAAAGAATGCAGGTTAATTGATAGACCTTTAGTTGCAGACAAACCGTTCAGATGTTCGGATAATAAATATCCACTAATTCAATGTCCAATTTTAATGAATATTGCTAATTAAATTAATCATCCATAAATTATAGTGATTCTGTAATTTAATTAAATTGGAACGACAAACTTTTCAATAATTTTTTGGAAGTTTTTGGTGAAAAATTATTTGTGAACGTTGATTTATACGTTCCAAAAATATTTATAACTTGGAAATAAATGAGGAATTAAAAAATAATGTTAGTGCGATTAATTTTGTGGTAAGTAAATCAAGTGTAAATTACATTGTCTACAAATACATAATATTTATAAGTATAATTTTTTCAACTTGAAGAAATTCATTTATAACCTTTTTCACTCATAATTATTTCTACGTTTCGAAATTTGAAATATCCCCATCTTCAGAATCTTTGAAGTAATGAACAATACGATAAATTCAAAGTATAACCATTTTTATTAAGTGTATAATTTGATAATTTAATTAAGCGATTACCTAAGTTTCTTTAATTTCAACACATCAATAATTCTGAAGAAGGGGGCATTCCATATGCCCAAAACATAGAAATGGTCATGAATAAATTTTTATTTTTTTATTTTGGAAAACAAAAGAATTATAATATTAGTTATCCAGAAAAACAAACTGAAACTAGTTGGTATTGGTATTTTGCCTTGAGGCAAGTTACATGAACTTCCCGATATGTGTAAATAATCGACTTAATCAATAAAAAATAAATTAATTCATGAGTGATTAAAAGTATTTCGAGTGGATTTATCACACATTGTTGAAAACGAACGAACACTTTATCTTTAAACCAAGTAAATCGTCTGAAATTTTGATGAATTTTTAAAATTAAACTACTTGTCGTAAGGCCGTAAATTTTCAGTGAGTTCTGTAAGACCATGATCTATATCGCCAAAAAAAGTTCCATAAAAATCGGCTTAAAATTTTTTTCAACAGAAACGGCTCGGTAGATTTTCACCTAAAACTAATCAGTATCATTCCCAATCAATATCTTCCGAACAATTTTTGATTTTTGAAAATCGATTTGGTAGTATTAGCTTAAATGTGGACGAAAAGTTTAACACTTTTTCCCAAATTACAAAGAAACTGAGAAACGATAGTCCTCATCGAGATACATCGAAAGGCTTTTAAATTTTTCACCAGCCCACACACACACACATACTTTTTCCAAATTTAGTCTCATTCAACAATCACTAGTACTAATATTTTGCAATAAAATTTCTTGATGCGTTCCTTAGAAAACTGCGTAGAATTACTAATTTATGTAACGTGAAACGCACAAAACAGTTAAAGAACTGTTTAATGATCGATAAATTAGAAATTATTTATTTATTAGGAATTCAATTACCTCATTAATATTTTTTATTATAATATATATCCTTGAAAATTTTGTTGTACAATATTTAATTATATTTAATATAACATTCTGCAACTTTCACAAAATGCCAAGCAAGATTAGAATCTTGACAAGATATGAATGGCGGAAAACAGGACAAATATTTGCTCTCTATTTCAGGAAAATCTTACTCCAAACAGTTGAAGTTGATCAATTCAAACTTATCCCTAATATTCCCTTTATTTATAATAATTTCAATTAAAAACCAAAATCCTAACAACCTATAAGGGATGGAATTTGAATATGATCAAATTTTGCTATTATGATGCAATGGTAAAGCAGCTACTTCTCCCAATTTTGAAATAAACGACAAACTGTTCAAATCAAGTATTGCAAAATTTAAAAAATCTCTTAAGCAAAAAATTGATACTTGGATCAAAATATACAAAGACTATTTTAATTAGATTTGGCCTTAACCCAACTTCTCAATTTGTCCTTTAAACATCCAACAATTTACCAAAAGCATTTTTAACAAACTTTTACTTCATGGAATAACCGGGTCTGCAAATTAGATCACATAAAAACAATGATTGCACTCGATTCTTCAATTGTAGATGATAGGCTGAATCTACTACTCTACCTTGGCATTTTATTGCCATGTTTTGTGGCAAAAACTACACTGTAAATTTATTTATCTTGAAGTACATCATAGCTAAATCATAAAGTTTATATCATAACCTATCTGTTGTGTAATCAAACAAAGAAATTATTTATTTGCAATAATGGGAAAACGAATAGTTCAAAACCATCAGGCGTATCACATGGATGCATACTATTAATTTGTTTGATTGTCATTTTAATCACGATATTAATTCTAGACGATCATTAACAAATATTGACAAGGTATAAAAAAGTCCATGTGATTAATATTCAACGAGTATTGTTTTTATCAATAATTAGAAAGTGCAATAAGCTAACGTTATGAAATAGATGAGATCATTTTCATCTGCAGACGGATGAAATTTCGCGAGATTAGGATTATAGACAAAAATAATCTAATAAATTTAACCCTTTCCACTCGGATGCGACAAAATACATATTAATCTCGCAATTTGCGAGTGGAAAGGGTTAAAGAAATATTGATTAAAAAGCTGTTCATTTTACCTCTTAATAAAAATAGCAAATTTAAACCTATAGTAATCACACAATTTTATACAGCTATAAAATATATTAATTACTTGGAACAATGCGATAGAAATAAATCAATCTTTAATTTCCCGCTTATTAGATCTTAACTGCAAAAATAATAATAAGCTATCTGAAACCTCTTATAGGTATAATTTGCGTGATATTAATATTATATCATTATGATCATTCTATTTTTTCCTATCCAATCCTATTGGATTCATATAGGGTTGGAATCCAATAGGATATTGATAGGAATCTTCAACTATATCCAATAAGAAAGTAATGCGTTTAAATCCAATAGATATAAAAAGTAATCATGGAAAAATCTACACTGAATATTATATCAAATATTGAAATTGAGAACAAACAAGAAGTTATAAGTGAAAAGAAATCTATAGACTCGACAGAAAAATGGAGAATATTGAAAAATGTTTGTATAGTGAGCATCGCATTTATGATCCACTTTACGGCATTTATGGTAAGGAAATAGTAATATTTGTATAATAAATAATTATATATATATATATATATATATATATATATATATATACATTTTATTTATTACATAGGGCGCAGCAAATCTTCAAAGTTCCATAAACGCAAGTGCAGGTTTGGGTACAGCTTCTTTGGCAACAATTTATGGTTCCTTAGTATTGTCTAATTTATTTTTGCCAGTTCTTATGATCGGGTAAGTAAGTGAAACAAAAAAAAAATAATTGATACCAAAAAAGTAAATATAGACAAAAATTGAAGTCTTAAATTAATTGATAAAAACTGACTACAATCAAAAATTTGATTTATGTTAACAACCCTTAAATGTTAACAAAAATCCATTATTATTCAGATGGCTCGGTTGCAAATGGACGATGGCAGTATCATTCATCACCTACATGCCCTACATAGCTGCCCAATTTGGCCCCAGTTTTGGAACGATGATACCGGCTGCCCTTTGTGTGGGTTTTGGAGGTGGCCCATTATGGTGTGCAAAATGCACTTACCTGACTGTTTTAGCAGCTGCTTATGCAAAAATCACCGACGGGAAAAATTCAGAAGCACTGGTGGTCAGGTTCTTTGGCCTATTTTTCATGATTTTTCAATTCTCGCAGATCTGGGGAAACTTGATTTCATCTATCGGTGAGTGATCTCTTCATAATAATAATACTGAAATAAGAAAATACACTTCGGTTAGATATTCCTATAATGTAACATTAAGGCTCACAAAAAGCAAGCAATAAAATAATATTTTTAGTATTGAGTAAAGATTAAATTAAAAAATATTATGACCTAATAATAATTTGTTAGACACACCACATTTGCATAATATACAATTTACTTCTTAATATTAATGATGATACTTTTAAAATTCATGCATAAGCTTGAAGGATTGTGTACTACCAATAATTTTAATAATTTTCTATTCCCAGTTTTATCTTCCGGAACGGATTCCCACAACATAACTATAGATCCTGATGCATTAGAATTGTGTGGAGCAAATTTTTTACCAGGACAAGCAATTTCTACGGGAAATACAAACTTGGAACCACCATCACCAGAAAAAATTTATACAATAGCAGGAATTTATCTTGCCTGCATGGTTACAGCTTGCCTGATCGTCGCACTTTTTGTGGATTCATCAGATCGGCAAGTTAATAAATAATAAAAATAATTATTAATATCACATTTAATAGAATAACTACATATAAATTCCGTAGTTTTGAAGAGCCAAATTTACTAGATTTTTTGCCAGATCTTGTATTTTATTCTTCTTAAAAATTAAAAATATTTTCATATATTTCTATGGCGGTTCAACTACAATAGTTAATCATTTTTTTCAAATTTTTCTCAAAAAGTATCTATTATAATATTTATAGATTTGTAGATTTTTCCAGATATGAATCAAATCGCAAAGGAAGTGGAACAGGATTACAAGGATTTCAATTATTAGCGATCACAATAAAACTCCTAAAAGTACGATGGCAAATTTTGATGGTTCCTATCACCATGCTTTTGGGAATGTCGCAAACGTTTATCGGGGCCGATTTTACAGCCGTTAGTATATTAAATAAATGAATTAGTATAAAAATAAAATACATTAATAAGTATTATTTTACTATTTTTAGGCGTATGTGTCTTGCGCATGGGGCATCAGCAATATAGGCTACGTTATGATTTGCTATGGTGCATGCAATGCAATTTCTGCTATTGTCTTAGGATGGTTAGTTAAGGTAAATTAAGATGTAATGGTGTAATTAAATAACTATGGAAAAATATGAAAAATACGTATAAGTGTTGTTAATGTATAATGTGGCTATTTGTTATAATTATAAGCCGAAAGCAGCGGCATACACTAACTACAATACAACCAATTATTTACTACATTCTTTTAAACTAATTTTTAAATTACGCAACATCCAAACCAAATTTAAACTAATGCAAAAAGCAGTGTAAAAATAATTAAACGGACATACGCAATGTAAAATAAGCCCCAAACGCTAAATTCTTCTTCCGCTGGTTCTTCGACTGACTCCTACTGTTTTGCTTTTTTCTTGACTTTCTTGACAAATAGTAAATAACTTCTTCTTCTTTCTGTTCCAACTGCTCAAGATAACTTCTGCAGACACACTCGTTTTTTCTAATATTTAACACCATCCTCTTCAATGATCTACTGAATCTTCTTCCTCGTCAAAATGGTCAAATTTCTTCTCTTCATTATCCAGCCAGTGTTTTGTGCACTTTTTCAAAATCCCACATCTACTCATTGCCTGAACCAAACCTCCAACCTATAACGTTTTCTGGCTGTTCTCCTGATATTTATATTATTATACTCCATCTTTCCATTTACTTCACTATAAAATTTTTACTTCATTCAAATTTTATACTGATTTTTTTTAGATAACCGGACGAATGCCAATAATATGCTCAGCAGCAATTCTGCATACAATGATAGCAATTTGCTTATTGACTTGGAAACCAAATGCTGAATATAAAATCATCTATTTTATTATTTCTGGCGCCTGGGGCCTTGTTGATGGTGTTTGGCTCGTCCAGATCAATGGTAAATCATAATATTAAATAATAGGGCTAAGATAAATTCAAGTTATTGAAATAATTTTAATTTCCAGCATTTTGCGGGATACTTTTCCCAGGAAGGGAAGAAGCAGCTTATAGCAATTTTCGACTATGGGAAGCTGTGGGGTCTATTGTCACATATGGTTATAGCACGTTTTTAAGAACTGATATTAAATTATATATTTTACTTTTGGTTATTTGGATAGGAATAGTAGGATATGTAACGACAGAATTATCCATTAAAAAAACTCAAACAAAAAATACTAAATTGTGATGATATAAGTAAGGAAATAATTATTTAGGAACTATATTTTATAATGTTAGAATTATAGACCATCATTTACCAGCTTCAAATTTGGTTTTAAATAAGTTAAATAAAATTTTATTAATTTATTGTGATGATTTAACAGGGTATTTGAAAATATTAATTAAACTCATTGATGAAATGAAAATAAGTAATGAAATATAAAAATAATCAAGTAATGTTTCATAATTCAGACAGGGTAATAAATGAAACATACACGTGTATTTATAATATTATATTTCATTATCATTATCAATTTAATGTCAATTAAATTCTTAGCAAAAGCAAAATAACGTTATTGGATTATTACTAATAATACATTTTATGTATTTAACCTCAATGAGATATTTTCAACAGAGATATCTCCAACTTATTTGTTATAAATTATGGCAAATATATTTATTAATATAAAATTAAATTTTATAATTAAATTTTCATTTAATTCATATGTAGTAATAAAAGTTGTATTTTATATTTAGAATTTTGACAAATATCGCAGATAAAAAATTAATAAAAGTTTTTGAATTTTAAATACTGAATTATTTTCATTTTAAAAGAAGAAAATATAAAATATTACATTTTCTTCATACTATCACGCTTATCATATATCAATACTGCTTCAATTTCATTGGAATCATTTTTTTTATAAGTGGAATGTTTGCTTTCTTAACCATATATTTTTTAATTGCAAATTCTTTTAGCTAATGTATCAATACGTAGATATATATAGCTAATTAATAAGCTATTTTAAGTATATATTAAGACTAAACCCAGTTCTTACTTCACAATATAAATAAATGCATTTAAAATAAGGCACATGCTCAATCTAAGTAAAATAATATTAGCTATCTATATCCACTAAGCACAATTTATAATTGTCTTAAAGATTTTTTACAAATAAATCACTGAACTGGGAAAGAATTTCATAAATCTTTCTGCATAGAAAACCCTGTTCAAATGCAGGTAACAAGGAATGTAACTTGAATATTAATTTACTTATTATTAAGATTGATAAAATTGCACAATTTTTTAATTTCTCTTCATAAAATAATTATGGATTTAGTCTTTACATTATGCTGGTTATAAGCCTATTTTTGAATATAGTAAAACTTAATGTATAATCATTACGACTAAGTTTTTAGCGATAATATTTTTCAATATTATATAATAATTATCGCCTATTCGATATCACAGTTCATATCATTCAACAATCATTATAAAGTAAAAATATAGCAGTCTACACATATATGATTCGTATAATGAAAAGTATCATCGAATTTGATTGAATATATAATTTTTTATGATTATGATTTATTGGGAATTAATGAAGTTTTATCTTGAATTGTAATTTAAGTTTGTAATAAATTTAGTTTAGATATTTTGAAATTAAATGCGTTTTACAAGCATGCACTCAAATTTTCTATTCAAATGTGAATGAAGTCACATTTTACAGTAAGATTTAAAAAAGATCAGATTATTGTACTTTTTTAAGTATTCAATTTTTAAGAAAAATATTTTTTTTACTTAGCACAAGCAATTTTATCACATTCATATTTCATAGAAAATATTAAATTTCACAGATTATTAAATTTTAAAGTAATACCTAAAACTACTCCCCTAAATTCTATTTAAAAAGAACATAATAATAAAGCAATAAAAGTATTGTTGTTTATATACTATGAAGTCTAATTATTTGTTTATAATGCGAATAGAGATTATTTATTGTCCCCATCGGTAGTCACAACATTTAACAACAAATAAAATTATTCAATCACATTATTTTGGAATTGTCCCGCCACAACTTAACGGATTTGAAATCTATTGCGTACTTCAAAAATATAATTAAAGGTAGCTTATGTAAATAATTTAACAGTGAAAATTTATTCCTCATAATTATTAATTTTAGAGCGTATTTATCGAACCAGCGTATTTTTCAGCAATAACAATTATCAGCGTTTTTACTATAAAGATTATGGTCACAAATTAGTGAAGTAATAAAACCTAACGCTTATAGATATTTATGAATATAAGTTATAATTTGAATATAACTTAACATGAATGCCAAAAATGTTAAGTTTATTTAGATAAAAATAAATGTTTATCAAATGCATTGCTAAATGTGTTTAATTTCTTAACCTTGAAACTTGTACCCTGAAATCGTTATTGCAGCCTGAATTTACATTTGAAAAAAATAAAATAAAATTATTATCCGATATTTAAAACAACTATAAGGCTGTACTTTCTAATACTCTTGAATTTCTATTAGAATTCAAATTTTTGCCCAAATTTGAAAAACTCGAACAAGAATCATTTTCCCTAATATTATTGTCTTGCATAATATTTGCCAAATTAACATACTTTCCTTTTGATGTAGAACCAGTTTTATAACTAGGGTGTTTAGGGAATGTAAGTTTAATACTATTATCATCTAATATTTCAGATTTTTCTAGTGTTTTATGATGATCTTTTGCTTTATTAAAGTCATGTAACAAGTTTACTGGTTTACTTCTGTTAAGCTTGACTTTACTATCCTTATTTGAATCAGAATCAAAAATGTGTTTTTTTAAGGAAACTTTTGGAAAACTAGAGTTATCTAAAAATGTACTAGGTTTAGAATTATCTTTACTTACTTTGAAATGTAATTTTTTATCTAAATCCGATGAAAGAGTGTTATTTTGTTGTTTAGGATTTTCTGTTTTATTTGCTTGTCTGGATGAATTTACTGGATTGCCATTTTTTTCTGAAGAACTTGAATCAGATACTAAATTATATTGCTTCCCTCCTGAATTCTTTGATTTTATATTTTCTTTAATAAGATTGTCTGTGAAAATTTTTAATACATTCAAAAATTGTGAAAATTGATAAAATAAAATAAATAAAAAATTTATACCTTGTTTGTTTTCAGGATCTTTTATATCAATTGAGATTTTGTTATCTTCAAAAACTTCATCTCTCTCCATGGTACTATCTCTACTCTTCATAGCTTCCCTTTTTGCTTGTAATAATTTTTCCTTACTGGAGCTATGGGGCAATTTTCCACCACCAGGTGATTGGGTTCCTGATTCAGGACTTTGAGAACCGCTTTGTGGAGTGCTACACTGACTTTTATAATGCTCAACATCGAATAAAAGGCTTTCTGAAATTTCAGAACCAACCGCTAAATGCATTGACATACCTTCCAACCACACCTCTAGAACCTCAAATGGTGGCCTGCAAATGGTAAAATATATGTATAAAAATTATCTATTCAAAAGGTATTGATTAGAGAATATTCATTACCTCTTATCAGGATTTAAATCACAGCACAAAAATGCAATCTTATAAAATGGTATTGGACAAGTAGAGCAAAACTTATCTTTGAAAACAGTTTGATTTAATCCAAAATCTGCAGAACGAGGTAAATAATCTGGATCAGCTTGAACTCGTCCAATGATCTAATAAAATATTGTTATCAGATGCAATAAATAACTTCTAGTAATTTTTTAATATCATATTGTACACTCAAATTAAGTTCACCTCACAAAGGACAATTCCAAAAGAAAAAATGTCCACTTTTTCATCATATTTATTGCCTTTCATCATTTCTGGTGCCATCCAGTAAGGATTTCCAACAATGGTATATCTTTCTCTTCTTGGCCTTCTTGAAATTGAGCCATTTGCATTTGGTGATAAAGAAGTTCTTGTCATTGAATTCGAATGAGCCTGAGACACAATTCTAGCCAATCCAAAGTCAGCTACTATAACAGTTTTATCCTGCAAATTATAATTTAATTTAGTGAAGTAATAATAACTTTTACTGGCTAATTTTATTCTCTAAATTCACACCTCTCTTACAAGACAGTTGTGACTGTTTAAATCTCTATGAATAATATTCTGGGCATGTAGGTATGACATTCCACTAGATATGTCTTTTGCTAAAGTAACCTTCTGCTCCCAAGATAAAACTGTTGTTGAATCATGTAACAACTGTTGCAAAGTTCCACCAGGTACATACTCCGTCACTAAATGCAGTCTTTTATCCCGATATAAGACACCCATAAATCTTAAAACATTTACATGATCTAGAGATCTCAACACAGCAACCTATATTAAAAAACAAACATGAATATGTAATTATAATAGTAAAACATTGTTATAATACCTCTTTAAGGAAGTTTCTCTGAGCTTCTTCATCAACTCGATAAAGCTCTTTGAGAACCATAACTTCCTGAGTCACTTTATGGGTAACTTTAAATACTTGGCCAAAAAACCCCCGACCTAGTAATTCACCTTGCACCAAATCACTACCTCTAAACACACGTTGTGTTTTAGGCTCCACACGAAACGACCGCGTTCTTGACAAATCCAAGCCATCACTTGTAGATGGTGATCTGTGTAAAAAATTAGGTTAAAATTGAATAAAATGTAAATGAAGGAGTATATTATTGTTGGAAATTTGTCTACCCGTCTAATAATCTTGACATACTACTACTTCTTTCTTTTTCAGTTAACCCTCCTGCAGATTTCTTTTTAGTAGTATTATCGACAGCATGCCTTCTACGAATTTGCCTACTCCTTGAGTAAGTATTGTAACCCTCATCTCGTCTTCTAAACAATCGTTCTTTACTTTTTGGGCTATCAAGTGCTTTCAATTTTTCAGAATTACTGTTTTCTAATAAGGTAGTTTTGTTTATTACTGGACAAGTATATGAAGGGCGTCTAGTAAGAGATTCTGGATCGTGTTCTATAGTTAGCTGTGAAATTAAAATATTAAAAATGTAGTCTTCGAGATAACATGCATTGTTTTAAAATAATTCGAGTAATTTGAATATTAACGGACAAATTATACTATTGGAATGAAGTTGTACGCAGTTTATAACACGCCAACAGATCGACCTGCAAATGTCATTTATGCTACATTACGCGCTAAAAATTTACAAACAAATTTTCTGAGTCGTTAATGGGACATTTAACAGATAGCCAGTAACTGTCAAATAGTTTATTTATTAAATTGACATTTTTTGATTATTGTATTTTTAAACATGTTATAAAGCACATAACCTATATGTTATAGTATTATTTATCGCGTTACATTTACAATTATGTATACTACAAAAATAGAAAAAAACATATGCTCTATTTGTGAGAAGCAATATGATCGTGATTGGGAAATTGAGGAAATGCAAACAAATATTGCTCTTGAACCTACAGAGGAGGAATACTCGAGACATACAAGTTCTCGGTCAAACAACCAAATAAGTAAAATTACATGTCATAATTTGTTTGTATTTTTATTAAGAATTCATTAACATTTATGTTCCATTTCAAAGGTACTATTCCACAAAACGAAAGCAATATGATGATTTTAGAAATGTTAGCCAAAATGAGTCATGAAATAAAGCAAATATCTCAAGAACAAAAAGAACTTTCCAAACTTCTGAAAAAAGAAAAGACAAAAAAGTGTTCTCTAGCTCAAAAAATTTACAAGCAACTGCCTGTAAAAACTTTCAAAGAGCTAAGATCTGTAGAGGATTATTTGAAGGATGAAAATGTTCGAGAAGAACTGGTATTTTATCACATAAAAATATTATGTAGTTGAAATAAGATGAAATATAATATATCTAGCCTTATTATGCAAACATAATTTTTTTCAACAATTCATTATTATAGCAACAAATTTTGCAAAGGTATGGTGGACGTGATGCAAAATGTGGCACAACTGCTTTGTTAAAAAAGGTATTTACTGACAAAGTTGCTAAGGAGTTCAGTTGGGTAGGAGGAAAAGGAAAGAGAAACTTTTCTCTTCTTGAATGTACTATCTTAATTACAGGTATGTTTTTGTCTAAGAAGTAATTCATTATATGTAAAAAATTAATTTGTTAATAAAAATTATTTCAGAGGCAGTTGTTTCCAGCACAAAGAGCACAAGGTATGCTATTCAACAAGCTATCAAAGGCTGGTTACGACATGCAGGTGATAGATATAATCGAGCTCACCAATTGTAAGTATTATTAAATTTAAATTTTATAGGATGCAATTTTTTTTATGTTCATTCCACTTACTTGCAACACTGTATCAGAATATCTGATTAAATTCTCAATATTTTCCAGAGGTGCATCTCGAACTGGAGTTCCATTGACCTCTAATATTTTATCACCAATATGTAATGACATCAGTTCTGAGGCTACATCTAACCTGGAGACGGAAAGTGACGAAGAATATTAATAATTGACAAATATTACTTTGTTATAAACTACTTGTATAATAACTATTTTCATAATGTCTTATATTTTTTTATAAATCTTGTATATATAAGTTAGTTTTCAAATTTCACCAATTAAATTTATTATATAAGGGATTAACATAAAATTAAAAGAAAATTATATAAAAATGTTTGATTTTTTTCTGATACTAGTTATTAAAAAGCTTGTTAGTTAATCATAATTTTACGGAAACATGAATGGATCTGTTATACCTATATCGATTTAAAGAGCAGCATACTTCAATAGCCGAAGTTATAAGAGATAAGGCTACTTTGCTGATTTTCCCATAGATATTGCAAATTAACCTAGAAGTTGTAAACGTTAATAAAAGCCATAATTTAAAGCAATATTAATTCTTTTTAATACCAGCAACGCATTAATGGATAGTCATTTGATGGATTATATGAAACATTATTATATCTTTTCACATAATGCTTCAAGTTCCTATACTGCGAAAGCCTTTGTTTTGTTATTAATGTGGTGAGGATTAATAATATGAATTATAACTTACTCTGAAATTCTGACACCTCTGCATGCTAAGTCTGGAGTCACAGGTGCACCTTTCTGATTATCCACTGAAAGTTTTATGCCTCTTGGAGCTGTTACTCCATTGAGAGTACTTTCATTCGTAGGAGGTATTTCCACCAATCGTATGGAATGAGTGACTGCCCCTCTACCCAGAGGTTGCATTTGCTTTTTGTAGCACTGACCACTTGAATATTAAATGCACAAATAATAAGATCACATCAAATTTTGAATTTCATTTAACGAAACTATTTGGAACACATAGAAATAAAATATATTTCACATTAAATACCTCTGTTTCATATAATAAAATACAAGAAAATGTCACCTATCTAAAAATAAGTCTTATCAGTTGAGGTGATACTATTTGCATAATTTTATCATAATATTTACACAGATCTTATTAAAAAAAAACATGATAAACTTCATGTATAACATATAAGCTTTTGAATTGCTAACTTTTATAAATGTTTTACTATATGAAAGTAATAATATTTTATAACTTACCAATAAAGTTTGGACCGCTCAACCAGGGCATATGATTCTCCATCACCGATAAAATTATTACAAGAACAACAACAAAAACATTCTGGGTGAAATTTATGTTCACCGGCAACCATGACAGGTCCAGTAATGACTTGGCTGCATTGTTGACAAGATTCTCCATACTTTGTCCAATAATCATCACGACAAAACAATAAACCATCCTTCTCAAAATACCAATTTGAAAGAGAGGCATCGCATGCCGAGCATCTAAAACAAATACAATAAGGTATATTGAAATCAGAATTATGAAGATTTGGCTCACATTAATAAATTAAAAAAAGATTAATGATTATTTATCAATGTAATAATTTTTATATTACCTAAAGCATTCTAAGTGCCAATTATGACCCAATGCTGATACATATTGTTCTTCATCCAGTAAATTAAGGCAACAAGCGCAGGTGTCTGAAAGTTTATAATTGTTATGACATTTTTTGCACTTTAATTTCCCAAATTTAACTAAATTCAAATTGAGATATTTTTATTAATATTTATAACACAGTAAAAACACTAGTTTTAAACTTTTAAGTCACACATTAAGTAGAGACATACGCATCTGATTATGTTTTTGCGAATAACTATGTTGAAAACATATGATAAACCAAATATAGTTTAAAAATTCAATAAAGACCATTGAAAATACAATTCGTGTGTAATATTATTGAAAAACATTAATTATTTTTACCGCAATCTGATTTTTCATCCATAATTTTACACATTCGATTACATTTTCAACCACTTGTGTTGAAGCGCTGTCATAAAATGACAGGTCTGTAAGCAAAGAAGAATGTGACGCATTTCAAACCGCAGTGTTGCCATTTCTGATAACATATCCTCAACTTGATCGATACTTTCTATCAGATATGGCAATACTTGCAACCAGCAAAAATATTTAAATTTAAAATAATATACACTTATTATATTATATTTGTAAAGTTATTAAAATATTTCGTTAAAAAAACTTTAGTGCATTATAAAATTAAACAGAAATATCTTTTAACTGTTAGTAAAAAAATTAAAATAAAATTTCTCCAGGTACAGGGGTGTACTTCAGACAGGTATGAGATCATTTTCACGATTGTTCTAATTAATAATTTAAGATAAATGAATTTTACTAATTATGTTTATTTACATAACATATTTTGATTTTTAAAATATTTTATAATGAATAAAATAACATTTTTAGAGCGTTATTAATTTTGTGTTTGAGTGTTGTCAGCCGTTTATTAAAAATTAAACTAACTGCTGACAACAGTCAAAAACTTAAAAACGCTCAAAAAAATTGTTCAATAATTTGAGTTTCATCATGAAAATCTGGAATTTGTGATAAAATATGAGTGGAAATGTTATGAGAAATGAATTTTTTGATAACAAAATCATAGAAGAATTGAAATCGTTGTTATCTTCTAAAAACAATGTGAAAATATCAAATGCTGTTAAATTTATACAGTATACACTAACGTCTCATAAACCTGATAAAGATAAGTACATTATAACATGTGACATTTTCATAAAATCAGATTTACCTTATTTTCTTTGCGAGGCTCTCGCAACAACAGATTTTACTATCATAAAATCTATTTTACAATGCTGGCATTATCTCAGTGATTCCGAAAGTTTTTATACGCAAAATTGTGTCTTTTCAGTTTTGCGAGTCACTTCCCTAAGCATTTCATTTATATTAAAGAAACAGTGTGAATCAGAACTTGATTTATCATTAGAGGTATTAAACAAAATCTTTGTTGGTTTAGTAAAATTTAATTGCAATGTTCAGAGAAATGCTGCTGAAATTGAATATGTACTACAAATTCTGCAAGGACTATTTGAATCAAATAATGGGGTAAATCATGTGTCATTATGGTGTTGTAAAATTTTTGAATCTGTTTTACCATTGATTATGTGGAATGAAAAAGCAAATATGCTAAGGAAGTTGTATATATTGTTTCACGATGCAATTAGAACTCTCAAAAATGCATATGAAAAATATAGTCATAATTTTGACTGGATTGATAAAATTAATACCATTTGCAGTAGTATAATGCAAGCTTTATCAAATATTAATTCCAAAAAGTATGATACATTTTTTGAAAGCGCCGAGGACCGCGAAAGTGCTTCAACAATTAACCAAATAATAGAAATTTGTTATGATACTTTTATTGATATTTGCACCCTTAGATATTTATCATCAGAATGCGATTTGGATCCTCTGCCGCATAGCAAACCATTTCTTAAAGTTATAACTGAATTTTTTAATAATAAATATGCAGAAACATATAGAGTTGATTTAGCAAATCGATTAAATAGTATGGGAATATTTAGAAGAATAAAAACAATAATTTATCTAGAGCCTGCTAACACGGGTTCCAGAATTCTTTGCTTAGAATGCGCTGCTGAAATATTGACTTCTTTGGCCCAAGATGACTTGCAAGAATTAAGTTCAAAGGGCCTTACCATCTTTCAAGCAGATATTATGGAAGGATTATTAGAATTACCAGAAGATCCTTCTTGTTGGTTTCAAATTTTTACAGATAATTGCTTCTCCCAATTGGCGGTTACTGCTTTACTGATTTATGAATATTTTGAACTGAGGACTTTATCTGATCGAAGATATGCTGTTCAACATACTTTTCCTTATTTAGTTGTATTCATAAATTCATTAAAAGAACTTACTGAAATACCTAGAATAATAATAAAATGTTTATGGTTTATTTTTGCTTGTAGTTACTTATCAGCATCCACTCGGGAACATATTGAAGGAACTACAGCTGCAAATAACTGGCTACTAGCTGCAATCATGAAGAATGATATAAGAAATTTATATACAAATGATTTTAGTTTATTATTATGGGCCTTTGCTAACCCCTTATCGCCAAAACATTTATTATCAGAACTTTTCATTTTAACCATCTCTAAAAACAATGATTCTGATACCCACTTAAAACATCTTGTAGAAAATTTATCAATGGCAAGGCTAATATTAATAGATTTAATATGTAGCAAAGAAAATGATATAATTGATGTTTGCAGCAACATACTGTTAACCTCAAGCCCGGATCAAGAACAACTAGAAGATTGTTCAATCGTTATTTGGAACTATTTAAGTAAGTTTTTACCTGATGATAATTCTCAGAAAAAAATTATGATTTTATTACGTTTATGCATTAATTGGCCAGTAGCCAAAGTCTCGACACAAAATATTCAGAAAGTTTTGTATGAACTTGTGGAAATATGGAATGGATGCTTTGATCCGCAAACCACTCGGAAAATACTCTTTGACAAAGATTTCAGAAATCAGTCACTCTTGTTAATGGATATAATTCTATGCGAAATGGACAGCAGAAATGATCAAAAAGCACTTAAAAAAGTAATTTCTAAACCTCGATTTTTAACAGCTATTGACATGAATACTATGTGCAAAGATACAAATGTAGCAACTGCCTGTTGGGAAATTTTAAATACGATTACCAGGTTGCAGAAATCGCCAGAAACTGTAACACTTCCTTTACATCCTGGTCGCTTACTATCTTTATGGAGTGGACCAGAAAATGCGGCTTCTACCAAATGTTCTTTGCGTTTAATTGAATCCATTTTAGATTCAGAATGCCCTGCAACTATCGTTACATTGAAGTGGAGTAAAAATCCAAAAACTGATATCATGTATGCCCAAAGCATTGCGGCGACTTTACAATTTTTATGTACGTCTGGTTATCATGATGCCTGGTATTGCCTATCAGCTTTTTATAAATACGCAACGCACAATGAAGTAATTTTAGAACCATTGGCCAAATTTAATTATACACATTATCTTATAAGATCTGAAATTAAGAAAGGGATTATAGTTTTAGAGCCGATATTTTTGATGTTTTTAAAAACATGGTTTCAATTGATTGACAAATTGGACGAAAAAACGCAGTTCATTGCAGAACGTGCAACAAATCCCCTGAGAAAGTTTAGTAATTGCCATTTTTCTCATTTGTTGGAAGAAACCTTGACAACTATTTCGAAAATTTTGATTCATGATCAGACCTCTCATTTAGACAAGGAAGTTAGGAATCTGATAGCAGATATTGAAAATTCTATTTTGCGCCACAAAGATATACTTTATGAAGAATTGATTGTGAGGCTGGAGAAACATTGTTCTATAATTGATATATAATTATTATTTGTAATAAAAATAGTCTATTTTGCGCCACAAAAATAAACTTTATGAAGAATTGATTGTGAGGCTGGAAAAACATTGTTCTATAATTGATATATAATTATTATTTGTAATAAAAATAGTTAATTTCACATTTTAGTTATTTGGTCAAAAATGTTTATAATTAAAGACCTAATAAACTGGATTAAGTACCGATTACTATTATTAAGTTTATATTTGAATTTCTTTAGAATTTTCAGGGTCACTACGTTCAAAATCAAACGCAGTCAAATTTAAAAACAAAAGAATAATACTTGTTCGAAAAACAAAGTAATAAATCATAGTTCTGAGAAATTAAACAAGAATCGGTAGCAAATAATATTAATTGCCTTTATAATTTCAACATGGCTTTAGTAAGAGCAGTGGTGCGCTCAAACTTAATGAAAAATACATGGAGTGTGCCGGCACGATTCGTGGCAAGTAAGTAAAAAAAATATCTTATTTAGTAAATGAAATTACTTTTAGCAAATAAAGATACTGCCCTTTATATAATTCATTCACAATTATGGATTATAATGTGGATTTTTTCTAGGAATGCCTGACATCCTCGAACATGCCACTGGGCTGGAAAAACGAGAATTATTGGCAATCGCGGCAGGTGATCCCAACCCGTTTGGTATGTACGTTCTAAAACGTTGTGCTGGGACTCGTGATAAGCCAACTTGTGTACCCTCTGCCTTTGATAAACGTCTTGTTGGATGCATATGTAAGTTAACTAGGTGTAAGTGGTATTTTGCCTTAAGGCAAGTTGCATGAACTTCCCAAAATGAAAAGAATCCCATGGATAGATCACCATTGGTGGCCTCGAACTTAAGCTTTTTGCTTTTATTTTCAACAATATTAGAAATACTCAGAGTAGGAATATGTACCTTCTAGAAATAGGGTTATCATATCCGAAGCCGGATTGGTTAGGATTTGACTCCGCTTCAGAGAGGAGTTATATCCACTTAACAACTCCACAACTTCGACAACTTTGAAACATAATACTTGACACAAATGTGTTCTCTAGTGTGTTTTTACATATCTAAAGATTTATTAAGACTTTGGAAATAGTTTACAAATTGTTCAAACATTTTTGTTTATTTCATTATAATAACTACTATTTTATGCATTTCAATGTGAAAATACAAAATGAGAATACAAATCAGCATTATTTTGAGACATTATATACCTGGAAAGTCCTAAAACTGCCTGTGAGACGAGAAAAAAACCACTTCTTTCGACCCAAATCTTTGTATCAGTAAAAAATATCAAGCAAATATCTGCACATGTTAACAGATTTAGTACCAGTTTAGGGAAGTCGGATATGACAAATCCTGTAAGACAACTCCACTCGAATTCACTCCAAGGGAGGAGTTGTATCGGAGTGATAACTCCGGAGTGAGTTACTTATCTCTAGTACCTGCTCATATTATAATGCACATATATCCATTACAGGCCATGAAGATGATCAGCATATCAGCTACATGTGGTTGCACTCTGTGAGTATATCAACCATTTTTATCATAATTGTTATTAATAATAATTTTTTAATTATTACAATTGTTTCTTTTCAGGATCATATGAAGAGGTGCGCTTGCGGTTATTGGTTCAAGCTTATCTTCAAGTGCCCAGTCTAACTTTAAAATTTATGATGAAATAATCACCTTGTGATATTGATATTCAATTTAAAAATCTAATAAGTAAACAATGAATGTTAATAAAAAATAGAACAATTTGGTGTCGTTCAAACATTCATTGGTTTTCTTTTAAAATAGATTTTGTTGTAAAGGTTTCATGCACATAAATTCGAGATTTTTCTAAAGTCTTTAAATTGTTCCTAGAATTACAACCGTGATTAATACGGTGCTGGGTAGGTGTTTATTATTTTTATTTTAAAAGCTAAATGCGCAATTATAAAGTAATGCTGGTCAATGTTATTGGTTAGATAAAATTTAGTCGAAGCTGCTTGTTTGATTCATTTTTAAAAGTAATTATAAAATTTATTTTAAAATCATGATGCTATTGGATCAAATAATTTCTTTAATCCATATTTAAATAATCCATAACTTAGGTTAGTGATGTTCTTAATATAAAATTTATTTAAAAAATAATGATTTTAACATATGTTATATGATATTTATGATTTTTTCATATACAATAATAAATTATACAATAATAATTAATTAATTACTAAATCAACATTAAGAAAATGAATATAAATTTTTAACGAAAAATGTTGCAAATCCATTCATAATCAAGTAAATTTTAGACCATGTTTCAGTGATTTTAAAAAAACAAACATACAATTTAACACTTCTTAAAAATAATAAATCACTGAAATTTTGCTAAACATCTATATAAATAACATATTTGTTATTAACAAAAGCAAAAATAGAGATTTTTTTATTGAAAGTCGGTTCTCCACATACACATAATTTCCAAAGACTTGCAATGTTCGAAAAGAAGAAGAGCGAACTTCACTAATTAACTAGAGTTATTAAAGTAACTAGTATAATTAAAAGAGAGAACAATAGCATTCTAGATCCTCCCCCCATAATACTTAAGTGTTATACTATAATGTATGATTTTATTAAAAAATGTAATACATAATGTAATGTAAAATAGTATATAATGAGGGTAAAACAATGTGTAAATATATTGTAATGTTTTTTTTATTTTAACTACAATATTTATTACAACTGTTAAATAATTAACATCTAGCAATAATGATAAATAATACCATTTAAATAAATAAGAGTGTAATGATTAAATAGTATTTTAGAGTCATGGTTTTCCAACTTCTTATTCAAGTCATTATATACTTTTTATTTTCCGGAATACAAAAGACTATAGAAACTTATGGTTTAATTTATTTATAATAGATTTTTTTTAATTGCAATATTTATTACAACTGTTAAATAATTTCTAAACATCTAGTAATAATAATGAACAATAACATAAATTTAAATAAAAAAGAGTACAAAATTAAGGATAGCATATACATTAAAATGATATCTGTAGTATGGTAATTTAATATAAAATAAAAGCAAATAATAATAATAATAAAATTAATAAATAAAATAAATAAAAATAAAAAACAATAAAGTGGAATAAAAACAATAAGTGACAGATAATAATGAATATAACAAAATAACAATATTAGAAATAATAAAATAATATAATAATAATAATAATAATAATAATAATAATAATAATAATAATAATAATAATAATATTAATGTGAGCGTTTACAAATGGCTATTTATGAGATGTAGAAACATTAGAATAAATACATAAAAACAAGTAGAATTACATTTACAATTTACAATTTACAATTTACATTTTAAAACTTTTAATGGTAAAATTGTTAAATAATGATATAATCTACCAATTTTTTATAGTTATTTACTTCCTGTAGGGTAAGTTATAGTAATCGCAAAAAAATCGAACATGAAAAATTTTATATATCTTTACGTTTCAGAGGTTTCTGAACATTTTGGCATACCTTAGAAAAAATGGATGTTTGTGTGTGTGTGCGGATACAAATTTTCGTTGATGATTTCGGGAACACGGATGAAGCGATTTAAATAATTCAAAAAACATTCGAATCGTATTGATAAGGAGACGTGCTGATTAGTTTTTGGCATAGGCAGGTCTAGCCGTTTCGAAGATACGGGGCAAAAAGTGCCACAAACGGTAACTCAATTTTTAAGAGAACGGAGCGTCCGATTTTAATAATTCAAAAAATAGTTTACTTGTATTGTCAAGATGAAGTACTGATTAAATTTTTGGGAAGGCAGGTCTAGCGGTTATGAACTCTCAATAAAAATTAGTTAAAAAAATGTCATTTGGCGGTCAAAAATGTTTATTGGACATATGTACATCAAATTATCAGATATTTTATAAAGATTTTAATAATGTGTACACATTTTGTGTAATTTTTTTTTGGGTTCCGTACCAAGATTTTTAAAGTAAAACTTCTTTAAGCGCGACAAGGGTGTAATTTAGAGGAAATGCAACGGAAGCGCGTTACGGCTTACTGACTCGTCATTGGCCAACGATTTCGTCATTCGCATTGACGATTGATTCTCTTGTCTCGCTCTCGCGTATGTATCATCTCGACAACTATGTAATTACAAAATGTCAAATGACAACTCTAATTTAATAAAAATCAAATGTTTTACTAATGTTACCATATTACCAATAAACGATATTTTAAAATCGTATATAATGAATTTATTTCTAATTTAATTGCCATCTCGTACAATAACAAAAAAGTTTTACTTCAATCGCGTGTGTACCTTATGCATTCTCTTTTTTTAATTACGGTACGGGAAGTTCCAGCAATTTGCCTTAAGGCACGATGCCATATACACCACTAGTTATACACTTTTTATTATCCAGAGTGCGCAAGTCCTCCACACATGTGCCCATGCCCATGTGGTCATGTGGTGGTTAGCGCACCCGGTCGTCATGAGCCATCAAAACTGTCATTTCGCATAGCAACGCACTATATTTCAAAACGCCAAAACAAAACGATACGAAATCCAATTTTGTCAAAAGTGACATAACAACCACATGATTTAGTTCGATTGACTTTTATATTTACACTTATAAAAAAATTATTCAATAACCCGTACGAAACCTAATTTAATTTTAACCATTTTTATCACAGTGCTCATATTATATCAATTATATCATATTTCGATTTATGTTAATAAATCTCATTATCATTATCTCGGACGCGTGCTTACGACTTGAATTATGTTAGTTGCCTGATCGATTCAACAACAAAAGCTTCAAAGCTCAGCTTTAAGCTCTCATTCATGATTCGCGTAGCGATCGGTCGAGTTAATAATCCACATGGCTGACGTGAAATAATTGATAGAAAGTTTTTTTTTCTACTTTTTTATAGTAATTAGTTTTTGATGTGGCCAGTTTTGTGACGACGGTGATCATGTCCAAGAACCATGACAAGAAGAAAGCAGTGGAAATTGATGATCACATCGCGAAAAGATTTGATATTAGGAAGAGGATTGGAAAAGGTAAATTATTAATTAATTGAAAAAGAAAACATTGAACCTAGTAATAATTTATACTTGTTTGTCTATGCTAGTCATGTTTTCTTCTTCATATATATGTTAACAATCTCTGCTCATTGTTTTGTATAAATATTAGGTGTCATAAAAACCTAAAAACATAAAAATTAATATTTAATTAAATTTTATTTACATCACTATTTTATTACATGTTATGGTAATATAAAATATTAGCTTTTGAATATTATAAAAAAATATTTATTTTATTTATTTTAGCACGAATTATTATACTTTTTAACAAATTAGAAACAAACTAGTGGTGTGTATGGCATCGTGCCTTAAGGCAAATTGCTGGAACTTCCCGTACCGTAACGAAATGCTCGAGGCATATTAAATGTTTTCAAATAGATTATTATAAATATTGTAACATTGTCTCATATTTATAAGAATTATACAAACTGAATTGCAAAGTTGAAAATATTTGTTCAAAGTATATTAGAACTTAAGTCAGAATTACAATTAAAATCTGAATTATTTTCGATATATAAATTCGTTTTTTGGATCAATCAAATCCGATGCTCCTATCTCTCAAAAACTCGATTTCTATTTTCTGTACTTTGCTCCGTATCTCTGAAACGGCTGGACCTGCCTGTGTCAAAAACTAATCAGCACATCTCTTTATCAATAGGAATCAAATGTTTTTTGAACAATTCAAATGGGTTGATCCGTGCGCCCGAAAACGTGGACGAAAAATGGTATCCATACATACATACACACACACACATATTCATTTTTTCTGAGGTATGCCAAAAACTTCAGAAACCTTCAAAACGTCGAGAAATGCAAAATTTTCATTTTCGATTTTCGGCCCATTACTATAACTACCCTACGGGAAGTTAAAAAATGCTTTATCGTCATTAGTAGAATATATTAATCGTTTATAATATATGTTTTGGAATACTTCCTAGGAAAGTCTTATTAAATTGAAAAAGTTTTTATTTGAATCATACAATCGTGTTAACCTTCCTCGTTATTGCATTGTACTTGCAAATGCAGTAAGGCTCAAGGTAATAAAAATATATACTTATTTATTTTGTATATAAACGCATTAGATATACACTACAGGGATGTATAAACATAAATTTCATAAAAAAAATTAAATCTATATTCAACAACAATTAGAACTTAACGAGTCCTATGAGCAAATGACCACGTGGCTCATTTATTGTTGGGAACCCAAAGGCTATCTCTACATGACGAATTTATTACTACAATTTTTGTAATACCGATCAATTTTTTATTGGAAACCTATTGCTATACATTTATTATAGCATTAACATTATGATATACATTTTCAAGTGATAGTTGATGTCAATTCTGGTTGCAATCAGAGTGCCCGAGACGGGTTTCGAAGCTAACACTTCTGGTTCTGATAGGAAGTCCATAGCTCTAACCATTAGGCCAAGGGGGCACATAAATTTAAATTAATTTTATAGTCGTTTGCATATATTTTTGAAGTCTCTTAAAATTATTTCAAAATTCAACCAACGCAAAAGCAATTTATAAGTATGTTTATAGCATAGAGTTTATAGTTAGTTGCCAATTAGAATGTCCTATTTTTTGCATAGTACAAACTTAAATCATTGTATTTTTGTATATTAAATAAATATGTTTAAATTTAATTTATTTGTATATTTTTTATCTTTTTTTGTTTGGCCCTGTCCTGGTGTATCAACATGAAATAGTGATATAAATTGAGCGCATTAACGTCATAAGGAGGCAATGTCACGGGTTGGTACCTATATTGAGAATAAATGTTAAACGTCAACACGCAAATAACAGATATAAGATTTTCATCAAATACTTTCCTATAACAAAGCAGAAATATATACACAATAGGATTTTAATCCATTTGATTCCACGACGAATGAAAAAAATCAGCAAGGTGCGAGTCGAGATCAAAATAAAATACCCAAATTAAATAATACTTGAGAAAAGTAATATATGAAAAAATTTCAAAAATTTGAATTCATTTGTCGCTAAGTTATGCCTAAAAAATTTTTTTTTTAATTTTCCAAATTTTTTCTATGCTCTTACCATACAAAGTTTGATTGATTTGCGCACTATCTAAAAGTTAATATTAAGAGCTAAAACTCTCAGAGATTTGTTTTTCATCAATTTGGAACCATTTGAGCCCTTGGGAGCAAGGAAATTCGAAAATGTCCATATTAAGGACCACCCTAAATATATATATATATATATATATAAATGATTAAGACTAACTCATTTTTTTATTACATTCAATATTCCTCGAACATTTCGTTACGGTACTGGAAGTTCCAGCAATTCGCCTTAAGGCACAATCAAGTTTGATTCTTAAATACAATATTGTTTGGCATAAATATTTGATTTGTCAACTGGCACTAGCATCGAAATAGGGAAAATCGATAGCTACTAATTATAATATCAGGCATTTAATTGCTTTAATGAAACTTAATTTTAGCTGCAACTTGCCATCAGAAAAATTCCACTCAATTTTTAATTAAATATAAATATACCAGTAGTAATAATGATCGTATATAATAATTGTTTATTATTATTAATATTTCCATTTCCCCAGGTGCTTATGGGATTGTTTGGAAAGCGATGGATAGGAAATCCAGGGAGGTGATAGCTCTGAAGAAAATTTACGATGCCTTTCGAAACCCCACGGACGCCCAAAGAACTTTTAGGGAAATCATGTTCCTGCAAGCATTTAAAGATCACCCTAATATCGTGAGATTGTACAGTATACACAGGTAAATACCTGAAACGAATAATAAAAGTTTTGTCCCCTGTAATAAATCAAAAGATAATGAGATACTTAATCGTACTACTGGGGCTAAACGATTTCGAAAAACATTAAAAATTTACTCTGAAAAAATCAGATTTCTGAAAAACTATAAATTTTTGACAAAAATTTACTTTTTTTTTGAAAAAAAAGACTTTTTAAAGAAAAATTTATTTTGAAATATTTTGAAAATTCTGAACTTTTTTTCAAAGCAATCGTACTGCTTTAACTGCATAGAGACGAAATATCAATGCGCATAAACGCCGCGTCGCCGTCTAACGGATAAACATTGGTACGGAACCCATAGGAATGTAAACAAAATTTATACTTATTGTTAAAATCTCTATAAAATATCTGATAATTTGATGTGCATGTGTCTAATGATTATTTTTGACCGCCAAATGGCATTTATTTTTACTTTTTTTATTAGATCTCCGAAACCGCTAGACCTGCCTTCGTGAAAATTTGATCAGTTCTTCATCTTGTAAATACAAGTAAAATGTTTTTCGAATTATTAAAATCGGACGCTCCATTCTCTTAAAAACTGAGTTACCGTTTTTGGCACTTTTTGCCCCGTGTCTTCGGAACGGCTAGACCTGCCTTTGCCAAAAACTAATCAGCACGTCTCCTTATCAATACGAATCGAATGTTTTTTGAATTATTCAAATCGGTTGATCGGTGTTCCCGAAATTCTCGACGAAAATTTGTATCCGCACACATATACACACACACATACATCATTTTTTTTCTAAGGTATGCCAAAATATTCAGAAACCTCTGAAACGTAAAGATATATAAAAATTTTCATTTTCGATTTTTTTGCGATTACTATAACTTGCCCTACGGGAAGTTAATAATGTCTTTAAATTGACAATTATTCGTCATCTGGAGTATATTAAACATTTTCGCTCCAAATATTACTTAGAAATTATTTATTCTGACACATAAGAATGATTTATATACCCTAGATAATAATTACATTTCTTATCTATTTTTTGCCTCATAAATATAAAATAATTTACAGAGCAATCAATAACCAGGACATATACCTTGGCTTCGAATACATGGAAACGGATCTTCACAATGTCATCAAAAGGGGAAACATTCTCAAAGACATCCACAAAAGGTCAGTAGAACAATTTATATAATAACTCATCGTGACATGGTCAAAATAAATTACTTACATATACAAAATTACTAAATCAGCACAAATCGATTGATGGTATATGAATAAATTGGGGCGGGGGGTGTATCGCAGTCCAAAAAAGATTAACATTTTTGAAAAATTTTTACTTTGAAAAAATTATATTTTTGAGATACTATAAATTTTTGACGAAAATTGACTTTTTTAGAAAAAAAAGACTTTTTGAAACAAAATGTTTTCTTTAATTTGAAATATTTTGGAAATTTTGAACTTTTTTTCAAAGCAATCGTACTGCTTTAACTGCATAGAGACGAAATATAAAATCGCGTAAGCGCCGCGTCGCCGTCTAACTGATAAACATTGGTACGGAACCCATAGGAATGTAAACAAAATTTATACTTATTGTTAAAATCTCTATAAAATATCTGACGTGGCACTTTTTGCACCGTATCTTCGAACCGGCTATACCTGCCTATGCCAAAAACTAATCAGCACGTCTCCTTATCAAGAGCAATCGAATGCTTTTTGAATAATTGAAATCGGTTAAACCGTGTTCCCAAAATCGTCGATGAAAATTTGCATCCGCACACACACACACATTCCATTACATCCATTTTTTTAAGGTATGCCAAAATGTTCAGAAGGTTTTAAAACGTAAAGATATATAATAATTTTACCCTACGGGAAGTTAAATATTATTTCTAGATTTCCAGTTATTTCCTAGATGAAACAAATTTAAAAAATATTCATCTGTAAAACAGGATAGCACGTTATATCGCCTGATCATTCGTGCTGTTTATTACGATTGCTAATATCGATATGAAATACACGCCACGAAAAATCAATGAAAAACATATCCAAGTATAATTTTCACGATAAGAGAACAAGGTCGAAAAGAATTATTGAGGATATACCAAATCGAGCCGTTTCGAAATAATTACTATGAGTCGTGATCCTTATCATGCTCTAATTACAGAAATTTGGCAGAAACTTGTATATTTTTAGCATCTACTCTTGAAGAAAAATAAATCTTTATGAAGTTAATATTCTGTAGAAATAATCTAACTTATTTTTATTTAAGCATCTATAATTCTTTCTTATTTTTCAGATACATCATGTACCAAATGTTGAGCGCTACTCGATATATCCATTCAGGCAACGTAATACACAGGGATCAAAAACCTTCCAACGTTTTATTGGACAGCTCGTGCAGGTAATCTACATACATTATAATATTTTTAAAATAAAAAATCGTTTAAAATTATCATTCCTTTTTTTAGAGCCAAAATAGCTGATTTCGGGTTGGCCCGAAGTGTAAATCACAAAGACAATATGGATGGAGAAATGGAAGTGGACCCAACTCTCACAAATTATGTTGCCACAAGATGGTATCGGGCTCCAGAAATTCTAACCGCTAGCAAAAAGTAAGCTTAATGATAAAAAAATTATTAAATAGATAAATTAATTATTTTTCATCCTTTCTCAGATATACCAAATGTGTTGACATGTGGAGCTTAGGATGCATTTTAGGCGAAATGTTACGTGGAAAACCACTTTTCCAAGGAAACAGCACCATCAACCAAGTGGAAAAAATTATGGCAGCTTTACCAACACCTAGTCAAGAAGGTATAATTCATAACAAGAATAAACAACTATATATAATTATTATATTTTATTCCTTGCGTTGTTTTTGTCATTTTTATGTTTATTGTAAATTCAGTATCATTACAGATATAATAAGCGTTTGTTCTGGTTATGGAAGCGCCCTGGTGTCAACTCAGCCTACACCAGACAGATCTTTACATTCTCTTATGGAAGGTTACCCAGAAGATGCCAGAGATTTAGTAGAATCATTAATTGTCCTTAATCCGAATCATCGACTAACTGCTTCGGAGGCTTTGGAGCACGAATACGTAAGGAGGTAAAAGAATATCACATATTTAAATAAATTGGTAATTAGAGAAATTACTTAGTACATTAATATAATATTCGTTTTTTAATTGCTTAAATGAGCTTTTCTATTTCATGGGATTGGACATTATGTAAGTTCTTATACGACTTCATTAAGTAAAACAAACAAAAATTCGTTTGAAAACATTTTATGTAATGTGCTCCAAATAATCATCACAATCAATAAGTTTTTTAATAAACTTTAACTATTTTTTACCCATGCTATTTAATTTTGCAGCAGATTCTACAGAAAATCAGGAGAAATGATTATGCCTTACAACGTAGTACCGCCACTAAGAGATGATGTCCAACTTTCAGTGGATGACTACCGAAACAAATTATATGAATACATAAATACTGGTGGTGGACATTTATCTACAACCCCAAAAATATCAATTAGAAATCAGAGATTGACAATATCTAACCAAAGAATGATACCAACCGCGCCCCAACAACCACCTCCTCCAACCAGACAAAGGTCTTTAATTTTGAGGCCGAGAAGAGAGCAGGCTGAGTATCAAACTACGCTTCACAGACCACAAACAGTTGTCAAGAGAAGTAATACATCGATGGTAAACAATAATTGATTGAATTTAAAAATAAATGAGTAGTATTTACCATTTGGACAGAATTATTCATACCATCCAGTGTTTTATTTGTACACCATTTATTAATATTACTCCTCCGTTTCCAGATTGATGATAACTCCATGCACATGACTCAAGGAAGACTAACCAGCAGCCAAACTCAACAAAGGCAACCTACTGCCAAATCTGCAGCGACTACCACATATGAAAGAAATCATAAGCAGGGAATAACTCCTATTAGAAAGTCCATGTCGAGCAAATCGAGCAATGTTGTTCATTCTGAGCCGAAAATTTATTGCAAACGACGAGTTGACTACACAGAAGGAGCAAATATGACACCAGCAGCAGGAGATATTGGAAGAATGCAGCATGGATTCAGTCAACTGAACTTGGCTACACCCATATCATATCCGGTAAGTTCTTTTCTTTAAAAACAGATCACTTCGAAATTTGTTGAATCATGTAATTTTGATCCAAAAGTATGCAAATAATACTATAATTATCATTAACCCAAATCTTTTGCATATTGCAACCACGATACAGGCCAATCTGTAAGTGTTTGTACTAATAGCTCATAAAATTGTTTTATATTTTCTTTAATTTTCCCATCTATTTTCAGCGATCACAAACTAGATCGAGCGATTCGAACATGCGATCGAAACTAGAAGTGATTTATAACCATGGCGATCACAATGAAACCAAACTAAAAGAACGCATCCGACGACATTCAACTAACGATAGACACACAAAAGCTGAGGCAAACCATTACATCAGGACATCAGTTTCAAGAAACTGTGCTTCTAATCATAATCTAGAACCAGCTTCACGTTATAGCATCAGACAGAAGAAATATTCCAGTGTATCAGCAGATGAAGGTCAGCAGTATTATCAGTACAAAGATTATGGAGTGATAACGGAGAGCGCCCTGCACGAGTTAACCAGGAATTTACGGTCGGGTGTGCGATAAAAAAGCCTTTACAAAAAAGTGATATGTATAAAATATTTTATAACACTACTTTATATTTGTATTATTTTAATGAATAGTTTTGGTACAAACGCGTTTTATGCACTGAAAAAAGAATGTGATGTGTGAATTTGTACATTTTATTTGAGTGTGATTTCAATCAATATAATTTTATTTATTACTTCTAAATATTTTGTGTAAATAGAATTTGTAATTGCTTTGAAGAATAAATAAATTGTTATTGACTTGAACCGCACATTTATTACTGATATAGGATATAAGTAGGAACTTCATAAAAAAGTAATAAAAATTTTAGGATCTTTAGTTAAATACGTTTATTATATCCTATCAATACAAAATTATATATTAATTAGCACAATTCATAAGACAGATCTAAAAATAACAGATCCTCTATGTTAATTAATTCTTACACTAAACTTGATAAAAGCTGAACGAACTATATAAAGTTTGTCATATTTTAAAATCACAAAAACATCTCAAAGCTCAGTTTGCTTCTTTACAAACCTCACTTTTTTGTCAGATTCTCCAGCTTCTGCAGTAGTTATAGATTCCTGACTTGAGTATTGTTCTGCATTTAATGCATCCAACTCCCTCCCTATGCTACTATCATAGCTATCATCTGATTGTTCTTCACAATCCATATTAATGCCACTATTTCTATTTGTTTTAGAAACATTTGTGATTGGCTTGCCTTCAGATTTTCTTCTCACATGGCCTTTGGTTTTTGGATTAATTTGAGCATAAATAGGTTCAACGAGATTGTTTGAATCGGCGACACTTCCTACATCTGAACTACCATCTATAGTGTCAAAGGTGTAATCATTTCTAATTATAAGTCCTCCTTCTAATTTCACTATTTCTGGACCAGTATTTAAAGCATTGAGAGCATAAATGGATCCTTTGGAACTGGAATTTCCTAAATATCTCGGATTTTTTAATTCAATAAAAACTTGGGGAGGATAATTGTGATAATCTTCTGCATCTGGTGGAGCATTGAAAGATTCATTACTAATTCTGATGACCTCAACTGTGCTGTAGTGTACTATGAATAAATAAGGCTTACGATAAGTGAATGATATAGGTATATGACTCCATAAGATATCTTGAGATCTTGATCTTCGGCCAACATCATCAACAAAAACACCAAACTCATTAAAGCATAACAAGTATTCATCAGAAGATATAGCTAAAACAGTTATTGGGAAAGATTTTCGTTTGTGTGCAAAAATAACATGGCTCAATGTTGTATCAGTGGAATCCAAAAATTCTTCAGCTGTGTAATCATCTGTGTTAATCTCAAAGAACTTATGAGCACAAACCATAATCGTATTTTCAGTAAACAAGACACTAGATATTGGTTCAGATGTATCTAAAATCTTGACAGCTACATATTCAGATGATAATTTATCATACTTAAATATAAGCAGATGTGTTGGTGTTGCTGCACAAAGTAAAGAGCTTTCATTGCTAGATTTTGGAGGATCAGACGCTTGGAACAAATGGCAACATTCATTAGCTTGATTGGCAAAATTAATATCAGAGACATCTAAATGAGGTTCAACACAAGCTGATCTCTGTGCCAAACTTTCTAAATGCCGCAAATCTGCAGAAACAAGTTTCCTATCTTCTCCACAAATTAATAAAGCCATATTGATGCTTCTAACAAATGCTATCTGATACACCTTCACAACACCAGTAATATTTACTGGTTTATTTCCCATTTGATAAGAATATAATCCTTCTTCAGCACCTATTAAAATGCCATTTCCATTTACTTCAATTGCACAGTTAACATCTAAGACCATTTTGTAATCTTTGAATTGAATGTATTTTGATCCAGTATATTTCCTAGCGACGCAAGCATCTCCTAGACAGGATTGTAAAGCCGAGAGCCATTGTGATTTTTCTTCAGGAGACAAAGCCATAATTAAATGGGTAGTAGCTGGCCAGCATGTTGTTGTAGGTATCAATTCAATTTTGATAATAAACGGCAAATCGCTTCGCGCGGTATTGTTAACGTCGGTTTCAGAAACCTAGAAATTAATATTTTTATGCCGCATTAGCCTAATGACTAGGTAAATATATGCATTTTCTTTAAAACTGAAAACTACAGAACATATATAACAATAAAATTTTCAAAAAAATCCTGAATATGGTTAATTTTTAAATGAAATAACCTGAAATAAGTTGGTATCCTATCTTAAAATCTATTACATACCTCGGGAGTGACAACAGTGCAGCTATTATCTTGTCTGAGTTGTATGGTAGTAGCTGGTTCTGATTTTCCGGACGGTTCATTTGCATAAACATGAATGTCACTTCCCACAAGTTGAATATATTTTCGTTCCCAATTAGAATTATTTCTTTGCGGCAATTTAACCCATCCTCCTTTGGAGATCTGGAAACAACATTAATTTAGCCCAAAAGAAGAAAACAAAAGGATATAAATATTTGTTAATCAACTTATCTTACCTCAGAATCAACAATCTTAAGGCGTTCTTCAGATTTTTCTTGAACTTCCTTTTCCTTCATCAGGGTTTCACCGAAATGTTTAGCAAATGTGTTTGGCAAGCCACAAGTTGCTGGCAATAAATGGCAGCATTTGTGATGGCACATAATACCGCATTCTAAACACGCCGAAACTTGTCGACCGAATGGCAATGGTCCAGGACAGGCTGGACAGCGTGCGGAACGTTTACACAATTTGTGCTCAAATCTAAAGGAACAATAAATACAAATATTACAATAATCGAATTGATAAATCACATCTATTCTTTATCTATAAATGATATTTAATAAGTTTGGCAATATTATTTTTATTATCACCTGTGTGGTATATTGTGAAGCATTCTCAATTTAGAAGGTTGCCTTTGAAATTCTGCATTTCTTGATGAAGGACTTTGAACAATTTCTTGCAAAGCAATCTTAGTTCGAGGTGATGTGATTAATGCTGATTCAGAATCAGTGACCAGAGACAACATTTCACCTTTAGCACCAAGAAGTTGGGACTTTGCTTCCAACAATTGTTCAGAAAGTGTTCTATTCTTTGCCTGCTCCCTGGCAAGACTTGCTTCTGCAAAACAAATCATTCAACAGTATTATTAAATTTCCTTAAATTATGTGTATTATATAAAAAATAATATTTTTAAAGGGCAGTACATAATTACCTAATTCTCTATAATTCATTGGTAAAACGTTGATTGGTGCAATGTTTTCCTTCTTAGAAACACCAAAAAGTTTATCACTGAAAGATTTTTTTTCTTGTTACCATCTTCTAGCTTCGTCTGAGCAGATCAATAAGTTTTGTGTATTGTTGCAATGTGGCTTCAGATTTGACCTCACGATGTTGATAGAAAACTCTAAGCTCAGTAAGAGAATCCTCAAGCTCGTTAATATGAGCAGTTAGTGAATCTATTAAAATTAATTTTTCTTGCATTTCTGTTCTCAGTCTTGTCATTTCTTCTTTTGTAGAATACATCATGGTTAAATGTCTTGATGATTCTTCTTTCACCATGTTCAGTTCAGAGGTCAGAGCCTCATGGTGACGTTTTTCATTTTGTAAAGATGATTCTAGTGAAGAAATTAATTGCATGTTATCTGATAGTTGTGTTTCTAGGATTTCATTTCTATCTTTTTCTTCTCCAAGTTGGTTTGAAGTCAATGTCATAGATTCTCTGAATTCACTCAAATCATTTTGCAACCTGCCAATATCATCAAAATGCAGTGTTAAAACAACTATTTGAAAATTGTGAACACTTACATAAACCAATATAAAATTTGATATAAATATTAGTTTATTTTATTATTATGTACCTTTCACATCTCTTTTCAGCAATTAGTCTCAAACTACGTTCTTCATTGAATTGCCGTTTTGCTTGTAGAATTTCTTCTCGCTTTGTGTCTGTGTTAGATTCATATTCAGCAATTCTAGCTTGCAATGATTCAGCACGCTCTTCATGACCATCACAAAGAGCTTCAAGTTGTTGCAATTGATCTTCCATCATGGCACAAGCTTCTTTCAGCATTGAATTATTCTGTTTAAATAAATATATGATTATCTTGATTTGTATTTTTACTGTTGAATGATAAAACAAATAACATATTTTAATTATTTAATAATAATATGGATATGATGATATAAATCTTACTATTTTCAAATTATCATAATCCCTCTTTTGATCCTTGTAGAAATCTTCAATGCTTTTCACTTCCTCTTCTTTAACTGAACAAATTTCCTTCAATCGAGCAATCTCATTGTCTAAACATTTAATAGCGCTTTCATTTTTTCTTATTTCAGCCTTCAAAATAAGATTCTGAGACTTGCATTCACTCAAGTCAGCTTGGCATTTACTGAAACTGTTCTTTTCAGCATCACTCTTGTTCTGGTAGGCATCTAGTCGCCTTTGTAATTTTTCTGATTGAGATTTTTGTTGTTCTAGTTCTGTTTTAAGAAGTGCAATGTTTTTAACATGTTCCTTTCACAATTTCCTCATTTTCTGATTTCTCTGAAGACATACGTTCAATTAATTTCCGTTTTTCTTCAGTAATAGTTTTAAGCTTTTCTTCAAGTTGTTTCAATTCACGTTGTGTTATACGTTTGTCTAGATCACTTTCTGATAATTCCTTCTCCTAGAATTTAATTAATAATAATTAGATTAATGGCATAACTAAGAATTGAAAAAATATATACATTTAATTACCTTTTTCCACAGAGCAGAATTGGCAACTTTGGCATTTTGTTTTTCCAATGCTGCTTGCTCAGTGGCATTTTTCAATTGCTCTTCTAGTCTTTTAATTTGTTCTTGTAAAAACATTGATTTTTGTGGAGATTCAGATGAGAATTTCATATTTGAATACTTATCGGCTTTTTCAATATTTTCAAGTTCAGATTCTAATTGAGATAACATTTGTTCTAAGCCTTTTATCTAAAAGCAATAGAAATATAGTTAATGACTTCAATTAGTCAGCTAAAATAAGTACTTACTTTAGCTTTATTAATTTCGTCACTATCCACTACTGCTTGTAAACGCTGTTGCAAGCGTTCCTTTTCAGCAGCTGCTGTTTTAAGTTCCTCTCTTAAATTTTCAATAAGAGTGTCCTTTTGCTTATTGCGTACAGTCAATGATGTTTCATGGCGCTCTAATGAATTTTGACTGTGTGTCAAGTCATTTTTCAAGACCTGGAGATAATATAATTACCAAATTTATATGTCTTATGCCAACAATATTATTCATATATTAAGAAACTATTTATTATACCTTGACTTGTTTCTGTAAATTTTCTAATTCCATTCTTTCTCTTTTCAATACTTCTTCCATATCTTTAAACTTTACAATATCTTTGCGTTCAGCTTGAAGATCCTGGATTTTCTTCATCAGTTGAGGCATTTGTTCTTGTAAGGGCTGCAAATCCTCTAATTGTGCCTTAAATTAAGAAACATTCATTCAAATAGTGTTTAAACACATATTTAATTAAATTTAAAGCATATTATAAACATTACCTCTAACTCTTTAATACTTGATTCATATTTTAAAATTTTATCTCTGCAAGAATGCAATTCCTTGCTGTATTGCTTTTCTTTCTGCTCAAATTCAAAACATTTCTTTTCAATTTCTCTTCTATTTTTCTTCTCAGCATCAAGTTTCTTTTGTAAATCTTCAACCTTCTGGCGATTTTCTGCATTTATGGTCTCGAAACGCATCTCAGCACCCATAATGCTTTGTCTGGAGCGCTCTTGAGCCTTAGCAATAGTATTCTATAAACAAATTAAATGACTTAGCTTATTTTAATGAAATTATATGAAATATTGATTTAATTTTTGTTAAATTAATAAAAACCTTGCACTCTAGTTGTATATTTTTAATTCTTTCAAGTTCTTTAACTTTATCTTGCAAATCCTTTTGAGCTCGTTCTAATCTTGCTGCCAGAGCACCATTAGCAGTATCCATCTCTTTAATCTTTTCTTCTCGTTGATTCAAATCTTTTGTTAAAGCTGCTATCCTTGCGTTTCCATTCAATTCCCATTTCGCTTTTGTAGAAGCAATCAACTCAAGAGCTTGTCCTTCAAATGCTTTACGTTCCTTTCTTTCCATATCTAACATCCGTTTCATATTCTTAAAATATATTAACAAGAAGTTAAAATAAATTCTTACTTTCAAAAACAAATAAATTATTCATTATATGAAAGCATACAGAAAATGCTTCATTAAAATATAGCAAATAATGCACATCAATTTTTTTTAACTGCTATGTGTAAATTCCAATTAATTAATGCTTGCAAATTATCCCACCACAAAGTTATGTTTCTCACAGAAATAATATGCAATAATTTTATAAACAATGTCACCAACACAGATATTGGATTATCTATTTCTATTTATCTATAGTTTAATTTCAACAATTTAATTCACACATCTATAAATCAAAATATTTACATCAAATCAAGTTGTATTTTGATATGGATGCTATTCAATTCTAATTCATTAATAGTTTTGCTCTATTTTGAATAAATATTTTTATGGGAAAAAAAATTATGTGAACTACCTTATTATCATTTTTATATGTAGATAATTCTCTTTCCAGCCTATCGCGGATTGCTTCTGCAGATTCAACTCTTTTGACCTATAATAATTGATAATTAAATATGAATAAATAAATATATAACTAATAACTACATTACCATCACAAAGCAATTATTTATTTACTATATTATTTTGGCATTAATATTATGAGTAAATAATATTTACAACATAATTATAGCATTTACTTTTATAGCTCATTGCAATAATAAATTTATTTGCATTCAAAAACTTTTAACTTAAAAATTATTTATTTATTAGCAATACCTTTTCGGCAAGCCTTCTTTCCAAAGCTTCTGCATCCTGACTGTGTCTTTCTGCCTTGATTAATCGTTCTTGCAATCCTTCAATAGTTTTGCGCTCTCTAGAAGTACTCTCAAGTGGTTTTTCAACATTTTTGTTTAGTGTTACATTTAAATCAACATATGTTTTCGATTGTACACTTGACAAAATATCATTGTCCAAATTATGAATGTAAGTGAACCCAATGAATGGCAAATTTCTACCATTGAACTGAGTTTTTGTGCGAAAATTCTCTATTGATGGTTGAGAAGGTTTGTGAGTGAATTCCTCAAAATTAGATGTGTCATCACAACCATTTACTATAGGCACAAAAGGTGGAACCTAAGATAAAATAAAAATGTTGAATATATATTCAAAATTCTCTAGTTTAATAAAAATACATACCTGTTCTCTCAACTTATCCCAAATAACATCTTGAAATAATTCATGTGATACTATTTTAGGGTATGTTAATCTACTTTTACAGTCAGTCAATAAACCTTTCACAAAAGAAGAATATTCTTTTGAGGTTTCTTCAGGAAAAATGAGATCACTTGCAGCATTTTTATGATTCATTATTTTACTATAAGTACTTGCAATTGCTTCAGAACTAAATGGTGTTCTGCCTGTTAATAATTCATAAGCAACTACACCTAATGACCAATAATCGCAAGATATCTAAAATATCGACTTAATTATTATTCAAGAAACAAAATTATGATTATTTAAATGCATTGACACAAACCCCATATTTATCAGTCTTTGAACTTTCTACAGCCACTAAAACTTCTGGGGCAATGTAATCTGGAGTGCCAGCCGGCATCGCACTAGTTACAAAACCTGATGAATTCAATTTAGATGCTGAGCCAAAATCTGCCAACTTTAAATGCCCACATCTAAAAAATAATACAATTAAACTCCATAAACAGGGGTTATTTTCTTCAGCTAACATTTAAAAAATAGCCAAATTGGAAATGACACATTAGACACTTTAGAATGTGAGCCTGAAAACATTTATAAAATCTCATTAACTTGATTTTTAAGATCATACCTATCTAAAAGAACATTATCGGGTTTAACATCTCTGTGCACATATCCCATACAATGCAAGGCATGAATAGCCAAAGCTAGTTCAGCAAGATAAAACTTTGAGGCAGCTTCTCCAATACCAGAACCATTTCCACGTCTTTCTAATAATCCCAGAAGATCACCACCAGGATGAAATTCCATAACCAAATATAAATGAGCCATATCCTATGATAAATTATATATATGTCACATAATAAATACAATAAAATTATAAGATTAATTGTGATAATACCTGAAAAGCATATTGGAGACTAGTAAGCCAAGGACTTTGATTATTGGCCATAATATCACGCTCCTCTTCATAAAAACTGATATTATTTTTTCCTAGTGAATCACATTTTCGTAAAGTTTTCATTGCATAGACATCTCCTGTTTGTTTCTCTCTAACAACCTTAGAATAATATTTGTATATTAAATTTAAAGCTATTGAGATTATACTGAAGGCATATATTATTTACATGAACTTCTCCAAAATGACCACGGCCTATAATATTCTTTACTTCGAAATCACCTATGTTAACCCTGAGTCTTTTAAGGTCCAAAATTGTACTTCGATCTAGAAAATTTAACAAGGTTTAGAATCATAAAGCAATATTGTGTGAAAAGAGAATTAAGATTACATTTATCTACAAATAAGGCTATGTTCTTATCAGATTTTTTTAATATATCAGAATTGCATTCATCGTATAAGGCCATTAGGGCATCCAAAAGTCCTTCCCTTGCAACACATTTCATAGAAGCAGATGCATTGTTAATATTTCTGCCCAGAACATGATTGTTCAAACGAGCTGAACGCACACTAATTGCTTCTTTTAAGGGCTCCATTGTATTTATATTTATTCTCCACTTTTATTTATTGTTTGTTTCAATGTTTGTACATTTTAATTACATATAAAATCACCAATTCACTGCATAACAGTCATATTTTAGCATATAGTCAACAGTTATCAACCGTCAAAACTAAGCATAGGGCTAAAAAAGCACAAACAGGTATAAATTGCAAGTTCAACGTGAAGTTAGTGAAGAATAATGTAAACAAGAAAACAAATGTAAACGGAAATAAATAATTCCGACACGGGAATATAGATGTCACTTAGCGGAATTGCAAACTTATACATTTCTTTTCAACAAGTTCTCCTAACCTAAACAGTTAAATGTTTTTAGTTCTTAAATTCTATAATATTAAGTGACAATCAATACAGGATCAATACAATAATAAAGTTGTTGTGCTAAACGAATTTGTACCTATATATATAATATGTCGTTGTTGCAGAGAGTAAAGTGAGTTTTTAATTTATTAACCTGAATGTAGTAGTTTTCAAAAATAACATGTTTTTTTATGAAATAAGTAAATTAAGCATTGATTTATTTATTTTATACACAAACGTATTATACAAACTTATCGGAATTAAAATGAATCTTGCTTAACTTTTTATAGACATTTCTTTCATTTCTTTATTATTATTTTTTTTACTGATATTCTTTTGATTGCTTCACTCTTTAAAACATCTATTACATTTTCTATTATAGGAAACCTATTACTCACAAGGGGAAGAAAGTACTCTTAAGTAGAGAACCCAAACTTATTGAAGATCCCAAAAATGTATTATTACTTAAAGGTCGTAAAACATCAGAACGTAATTCAGCAGCAATTACTGATATTTATCATCTCAAAAAGCCACAATCTAGAATGCTCTCTAAAAGAAATGATGTGAATGCATTTGAAAATATTGTTCCAGTGGAAGAGTAAGATTGCTAACTTCTTAATAATAGTTTCTGAAGAATGTACAATTACTTTATGCCTTGAATTTTTAGATTAACCAGAAAAAATGAATCAACATTATTTGTCTTAGCAACTAATTCTAAAAAACGACCTCATAATTTAGTAGTTGGACGCATGTTTGACAATCGAATTTTGGATATGGTTGAACTAGGTATTGACAGTTACACTTCCTAAAAGATTTTAAGAATGAGAAAATTGGTACTGGTGTCAAACCTTGTTTAATTTTCAATGGACCTGCTTGGGAACAGAGTAAGGAATTGGCTCGCCTCAAAAACTTGTTTATAGATCTTTTTCACAGGAACAGGTATGAATAATTACAAGATAAAAAATAGTTGAAGTCATGCTTTGGATAATATAACAGTTTTGTATAGGTTGAGACAATAAGGCTACAAGGCTTAGAACATGTATTAAGTTTTACTGTAACAGAGGGCTCAACTATTTTATTACGGTCTTATCAAGTACAGCTGAAAAAGTCTGGTCAGAGAACACCAAGAGTTGAATTAAAAGAAATTGGTAAAACTAGAGCAGAATGTTTTAAGTACTATGGATTCATAATACAGCAACTCTGATAGAATTTGTTTTATTATAGGGCCATCTGCAGATTTTTCACTAAGACGATCAAAGTTAGCTACTGATGAACTTTGGAAACTAGCATGCACACGTCCCAAAGCTTTGAAACTAGTTAAAAAGAAAAATATTTCAAGAGATGGATTGGGTACTACTCATGGACGTATTCATTTAGGAAAACAGAATATTCATAAAATCCAAACAAGAAAAATGAAGGGATTGAAAAAAACTCCACAAGAAAGAAAAGCTAAAAGAATAATGAAAGAAAGCTCCACATAAATTGTTTTACTTATTAATGGTTTAAGTTTATATAAAATTAATGATTTATTTTGTATCAGAACAAAATAAACATATTTACAAACAACATAGAATTTCTCTCCTTTCTGCTTTGACATAACCCTAAAATTTTTGACAGCGACGTGGATGAGTTCAAAAGTAGAAAAATAACTTTGGATCTACTGACATATGCATTCATATCCTATATTAAACAAAAAATAAAAATGGATAATGATATATTAATTTTAGCTGTAATTGCATCAGTGTTATTTATTACTAGTTTGATTTTGTACTTGATTAAACTGAAAAATGGTAAAAAATGTAAGTACAGCTGCCCATAGGATAAAGTCCTATTGGAGCAACTTTGAAATGTACCTATATTTCAATTATTTTATCAAATAAAATAATTGATTTGTTTGTAGCACCAGAACCTCAGCAAGGAGAACAGGTGCCAGTTAGACGGCAACAAGTGGTTAGAAACCAACGTGCTAGGCTTCGTGCAAATGGTAATAGATAGTTAAATCATTGCTTTGTCAACTTAATAGCATGCATTATTTAGATACACTACTTATGTTTTTTTATAAATGTAATTCCTACAGCTGCTGCAAGATTGCAAGACACAGAAAATGAACGACAAGATCTTCATGTAGATGATGATAATGAAGAAGTCCAGAAATCTTCTGTTGATTTTGGAGATAAGATGGGGGCAAAGAAAAGAGCAAAATTAGAAGCAAAAGCAGAAAAGAAGGCTGCCAGGGAGGCTGAGCAGAAAATACGAGAAGAGAAAAGAAAACGAGAAGCAGCTTTAGATGAAGAAAGAAGAAAGCAAGAAGAACAGGAGCAGGTATTGTTTAATATATAACACAATCTATTATTGGAAGAGTAAGTTATTAAACACTTTGAATTCAGAGAGAAGAGCAACTACGTGAAGAAGCAATAAGAAAAGCAAAGGAAGAAAAAGAAAAACGTGAGCAAGAAGAATATTTAGCAATGAAAGCAGCATTTAGTGTAGAGGAAGAAGGATTTGATAACACTGAAGATGGAAATGAAAATTTGCTACAAGAATTTGTTAATTATATTAAGGTTCAAGCTTATGAAAATGTTGTACCACAATCCCAATATTCAATTTAATTACATAACATATTAATTTTAATTTTAGAACACTAAAGTGGTCGTGTTAGAAGACCTTGCATTACATTTTAGAATGAAGACTCAAGCAGCTATTGATAGAATTACAGATTTGAAGAAAGATGGAATTCTTACAGGAGTTATTGATGATAGAGGAAAATTTATTTATATTTCACAGAAAGAACTCGATGCAGTTGCCAAGTTTATTAGACAAAGAGGAAGAGTTTCAATAGCAGAACTGGCAGAGCACAGTAATAATTTAATATCACTTGAACCCATCAAGGCATAAGGATTTTGGTGCATATTATATAAAAAATGTTAAATTGGTATTTGTCATAATTTTTGTAATGTATAGAATTTAAGATCAAGATAAAAGGTAAAAATTTATCAAGAATGTTTATAAATCTTCAAAATGAAATGTTAATTGCAAAATTGAGCTATGAAATGGACTGATCTATTAAATTTGTTATAAAATATTTTTTAAATTCATTGTAAAAATATCTACATTATCTGAAAATTACCGTTATTATACAATCTATTGATGAATGTATTTTATTTGCAAATCTATATTATAAATTTTAGTTATCAATATTCAAACAATATGTTTTCGCGGTTTTGACATAGTTTAATTTGAGATATGAAAGTTTGAATGTGTAAATGGTGTATTAATAAATGTAAATTTGACACAAAAACGGTTTACATCGGCATAGAGCAAACATTGAAACATAGCGGTCAATCCAAAAAACATGGCCGGACGTAGTAATTATGACGATTCAAGGTAACTCATGTTGATTTTTTATTAAAAAAACAGTCTAAATTCTAGTTTTTGATCGAAATTTAAGCAACATATGAAAAATAGAAATTATTATATGAATCAAATGTAGGTATTTCATTTTACAGCAAATCCAAGTCGTTATTTGGTTTTGTTTTGTGGTGTGTTTTTCCTTGTATTTGCATCGTGCGAAGCCGCAAAAGTAAATAATTTATAGTGATTTTAGCAATTATTTGACTGGTGTTTACTTTGAAATTTTGTTTTTGGTTTTTGTTTAACATGCCTCAGTGACATAACCAAAAATCTACTGTAGTGATATCAAAGCATAATTTGTGCCATAACCCGACTGAATGTTTTGCATAAACAACGTTTTATTAACACCAGTTAAATGATATTTTTAGGGAACATGGACAGAACAGGCGTAGAAAACCTTTACCAACAGAGCCCCCATTCACAGCATATGTGGGAAACCTGCCCGATGGATTGGTGCAAGGAGACGTGAATAAAATATTCAATGTAAGTTCTAATGTAGTTAATAAAGAATCATTCATTATTACAATATATAATATATAATTTGATTTATGCACACATATATCTTTATTGCAGAACCTGAATATTAAAAATATTCGATTAGTTATGGACCGTGAGACTGACCAATTCAAAGGATTTTGTTATGTTGAATTTGCAACCTTAGAAGATCTTGAAGAGGCACTTAAAAAAAATGAATTGATAAAAGTTGAACAAAACCTAATTCGGATTGATATTGCTGATGTCAAACGCAATGAAAGGTATATTTTTTATTATGAGAACAACCAAAATTTATCATATGATTTTACAAAATTAAATAACTAACATGTCACAACTCTGCAATAGTTTTCTATTTGCATACATTTTATGAATGAATGTTAAAATTATTTGAGGTTAAAGTTACTTACATCTATTTCTATATTACAGGGGTGGTGGATTTGATAGGGGCCGTGGAGGACGAGGTGGTGGTGGAGGTTTCAGAGGTGGCAGACAAGGACCTCCTAGCCATGGTGGTGATAATCCTAGAGGCATGTTTGATGAATTTACAAGTGGATTTGATCGTGGAAACCGAAATAACAGAGGCGGTTATTCAGGTCATTATAAGTTCAGAAAAGTATTTTCTCTATCACATATGGGATTATGTCCATAACTCTTATTATTTGCTTTCTTTATATTTGAAATTTATAAGTTTGTTTTCCTATAATTAGAGTTTTATCACTTGCAGATCGAGGACAAAGTAGAGGTAAATTCAGTGACTTTGGAGGAAATGATAACTGGAACCGTGGTGGGCGTGATGGCGGTTTTGGTGGTCGTTCAGATGGTGGCTATGGTGGCTCAAAACCTCGTGATGGTCAAAGAGAACGAAGATCAAATTTTGATGATTTGCCTAGTTCTATGCCAGGTTAGTAAATTTAGCATAATTCAATATTTTAATCACAAATATTTTATTTATTTGAAAAAGAGCAGCTGAAGATTTATTGAAAAATGTAAAAAGATACCATTTTTTAAATTTATTATTCCAGACACAACTGGAAGGCCAAAATTAAACCTTAAACCAAGAACAGTTACAGCTCCTGTTAATGCTTTAGCTGAAACAAGTCAAACTTCATCAATATTTGGTGGTGCTAAACCACGGGAAGAACCCACTGAGAAATAAGTTATCAAGTTTTAACATTAATTATTAACCACCATATAGAATACCATCTTGAATCATGTAATAATTTTTCGATTAAAAATTCTGCAAAACTCATAACAGGCGTCGATAATCTTACTCTTGCAATAAATTCTTTAACTGATATATAAAATGTATCAAGTTTTGTAAAAGAAAAATCAATAATTATTGATTTACAGAATAAAATATTTATTTTGTTTAAAAATTGACTAATACTTTGTAATAATATGTAATTCTTATATATATAGATTAAAGAGTTGTTGTTAGTGTACTTTTGTTTTCAAATAGTTTTACACTAATATATTTAATACAAAACGCTTTACAAATTTTACAATAATTGTATGAAAACTATTTGAGATTTTTATTTCTCCGAAGTACAAACTTAATGTATTTTTAAATGTTTTATTTATAAAATATTATGGATTAAGACATAAGGATATTGTAACTTTTTTAATGTTTTAAAAATAATTATACTGCTATTATACTGTTTGTTTTTAATTGATACATAAGCATTGATACTAATTAAAATCACATATGCATTCTACATTTTACTAGACATGTGTATATTTTTGTGTAAACAATTTATACAATGTATTATATGTATTTATACAAATAATATAAAGTACAATTACGTAATTGTTGTGTTCATTAATACTTGAAGCAAAAGCCGAATTTCAAGCATCTTAGTACCTAGTACATACTGACAAGTGTAACAGGCATTTAACCTTAATTATTCATTATTATGCAATATTTGATAAAAATCTATTAATAGAATATTTGAAATATGTTTGATATTGTTGTTAATTGTTCATTGTCAAAATGTGCAGATTCTTTATTTTATTTGATATTATTTGATACAAATTCTTGTTTTTGTTGTGACAATTTTTTTAAGTTAAGTGGAAACATTTCATTTAAAAAAGAATACTTTAGGTTTGTATATTTACTTGTTTGAATCTTAGTAAACTATCATATTAACTTCAACCTTGACATTTATAATTTTGTTTTGTTCTATATTTTCCAAATTTTTGTGATGTTTCTACATGTTTGTTAAAATTCCTTTACAATTTATGATTTTAGATTTCAATTTATTTATTGTTTCAGTTTAAAAAATGCATACATCCAGCGTACGTACTTTTATAAAATTCTACAAAACCAAGTCTATTTTGAGTAAGGAAATTTTACAAATAGTTCAAACAAATTTTATAAGTACTAACTCCCAAGACAAAGCTATTTTCTATCCTACTACTTCAAAGCCAGTTATTGAAGGAAAGCCTTTGTCACGAATACATGAATTGATTCAAGAATTTTATCGAGATGAGGCAGTAGGTGGTGTTGTACCTACTTTTAAAAAGTCTCTTGTATATGCGGATAAAATTGCAATTGAAGATGAACTTGGAGAGCACAGTTATGCCAAGTTATATGGAGCTAGCAAGACACTATCAATAAAGTTATCTTCTATATGTGGTATAACTTAAAGTTCATGAAATATATTTTAGAGGATTATAGATTGTATATTTTTAATTAATACTAATTTACAGGAAGTGGCTCTGAAACACGAATTGCTTTGCTTTGTGAAAATAATTTTAACTACATTGTGGCACAATGGGCTTGTTGGATTAGTGGTCTCATAGGTAAATTTTATTTATTTATTTTTCTTATTGAATAATATTCACATACATAACATATATTTGAAAAAGATTTAGTTACATGGCTTTTGAGGCTTTTAGTTCATGAAGTTAAAATCATAAATAATCGCTATCAATTTTAATTAAACTTATACCTAATTAATGACTAGAATTGTGTTTTAGCCGTACCCCTCAGTGACAAAAGCCCACTTTCTCTTATGGAATACTTTGTGAAAGATTCAGAAGCTGATATTTTGGTTGGAACACCAAAATATGAATCTATACTAACAAGTTTATCAAAAAAATTAAACAAAGAAGTTATAATAATAGAGCCCAATTATCTTATTGAATGTAGAAATCAAGGTTTGTTAGATAAACAAGCAGAAAATGTATTAAAATTTGGAGATAAAATTATAGTAGAAGGTTGTCAATTTGGAAACTTTTATAAAAGAGCTAATGCTTTAATATTGTACACAAGTGGGTCTACAGGACCTCCAAAAGGTAATGTTTAAAACGTATGTATGTAAATAATTGGTATTGTTTCTCATGTGTTTAATTTAATAGGTGTTGTTATCACATATAAAAATATTCAATCACAAATCAATTGCCTTACAAGAGCTTGGAAATGGCATCCAACGGACACAATACTACACACACTTCCTTTAAATCATATACATGGTATTGTGAATGCTTTATTATGTCCTCTTGATGTAGGAGCAAAAGTAATTATGCGTCCAAAATTTGATTCTGAAGAAGTTTTGCAGTATTTATCTGGTGAAAAACCATCGAAGCCAAATATTTTCATGGGTGTACCAACTATGTATACTAAACTAATAGAAAGCAACTCCAAGAAATATAAGAATAATATAGACAAAAAATTCAAAGATTATTGTATGAAAAATATTAGGCTTATGGTCTCAGGATCAGCTCCTCTGACACCAAACGTATTTAATAATTGGTATAGACTTACAGGACATAAATTACTTGAAAGATATGGAATGACTGAAATTGGAATGGCATTAAGCAATCCTTATATTGAAAATGAAAAGTATAAAAGAGAAATAGGAACTGTTGGATACCCTCTGCCTGGTGTTGAAATAAAATTGGTTAATTTCCAAAATGATGAAATGAACACATTGGTTCATGTAAAAGGCAAAGTTAATGAAGGACCTTGGTCTGACTCAGGTTCAGGTGACTTTCTACATTTATTCAATAGAGAGGACGGTGAGAGTGCTTCAGAAGCACTTCTGAAAAACATTAGCTCATCTAAACCAGTTGAACGACCATCTATAGATGATATGATTGAGGATGAAGAAAGAGTCATAGATGTTGATTCACCTTTTGATCCATTAATACCAAAAGAACCTGTTGTTGGTGAAATAATCATACAGGGTCCTACAGTTTTTAAACAATACTACAACAAAGTTGATGAAACATACAACGAATTTGTTGATATAGATTGGTTTAAAACAGGAGATACAGCTTTGTATGATAAAGGAATCTTCAAAATACAAGGAAGAACTAGTGTTGATATAATAAAGAGTGGTGGATACAAAATTTCTGCTCTTGATGTAGAAAATTGTTTAATAGAGCATCCTAATATCGTTGATTGCGCAGTTATCGGTTTACCTGATGAAAAATGGGGTGAAAAAGTTGTCTCTTTAGTTGTAATTGATAAAGGCAAAGAATTTGGACAAAGTGATATGGACAAATGGGCTTTAGAAAGGCTACCAAAATACTCTATTCCTAAACAAGTTATAAAATTAAATGAAATTCCTAGAAATGCAATGGGCAAAATAAACAAAAAAGAATTAATAAAATTATATGTAAATAAAGTGTAAAAAGAAACACTTGGCTAAATCATACAAAATAAACAATACAAATATGTAAATAAAAAACAAATTTAATATATTTTATAAATTATTTTATTTAAATTGTATAATAAAAAACATTCTTAATCCATCCGGGTCTTTAATTTTCGTTGAGTAACTTTATCTTTCTCAATAACATGAATTGTAGCTCCCCAACCAGATCCAGCATCTCGATCAGCTGCATTCATTAAAACTTGTGAAATGCATTCAAATAACTCATCCGGGTGCATATCAGGTTCATAAATAGCCTCACACATACCATACATCTGTTCAGAACATGTGCCCCCGACCACAAAATCTTCTGCAACATTTCTGCAGCCTATAAAGTCCATGTTACAAATAAAAGGCTCCACACCATCTTTCAAACCTGCAATTATCGGTTCCACAAAGTACGGCCCGAAACGGTGTTCGTACAATAAATTGGAGGTGATGTGGGAGAACGTTTTTGGGGACATCGTTCGATTTTCGGACAGCTCGTAAATGTTTTTTCTAAATATAAGTCTTTCTTTAACTGTTTGCATATCAGTTGATAAGCCTGGTAGCCCTAAATAGAGATGGGGGCCGATTTCAAAAACTTTTGGCATGTCTAAGCTTATAGTCATTCCTTGAATGCCAAATCTGTGATCAGTGGCGATTCCGACGCAATCAAAACCTCTCATGGCTAAAACTGCACCGCCGTTGTATCCCAAGATACTCATTTTGATCGATTATTATATGGTAAATTATAATTAATAACTTTTTTTGTTTAATTAACCAAAAGTCTAGTGCCGTTACTAAGTTACGCATAAATTGAATTTGAAGCCAACTAGCCAACATTCAAATGTTGGTACTGATTAAGCACTATTTCAAACAAGCGCATTTATAATTGGCGGCAAGTTTGAAACATGTAATAATTTACAAATTACCGTATATATTCAAATCTACAATTTTTTATATAAAAATTAATCTACCACATATCCAAAGACTATACAGATTTGGTGTATTCATACAATCCTCTTTATGAAAACTCAGTAACATTTTCAACAATGTTTTCAATAAATATCCTATTTCTTCATTAATGCAACTTGATCACTTTTAGAGCGATATTTTCCTAAATACTCTTCTGTTAGGTATGCCTAAATATAAAATATTCATATCGGTTCTTAATTATTTCCTTAAGTTGTTTAAAATGGGGTCCTACAAACCGATAACTTTTGACGTTTGACAGAACATGATGGCGGACAGTTATTATATTGTCTAGGGCTCTTGTTGATTGTTCTGTACTGAAGAATGTGGTTCAGTATTTTTTTGTTGTAAGTAACATTTATTTCATATAAAGAAACACTTTATTATGCAACCATGATTCTAATAATCCATTGAGTTTATCGATTCACCTGGTTGGTATATCGATCGAGTTTGAAAATAATCCAAGAAAATGACATTTCATAATAAAGATTAATCGTTAAGTAATTCTACATAAATTCTTTGTTGAATCAGCTTTTTTCTTAAATATAATCATCTGGCATATGTTAAATATGTATTATCAAGTTTTGCACAAAACCTTTGAAGCATTCAATCTAAGCTTTCAATATTGAATATGGCCTAATCCATTTTTTTATTTTCATTAAATGTGCTTCTATATTAATTGATTCAGCTTATTATCTTAAACTTGCTAACAATTTTGTAGTTCGATTTTAAAACACCATTTCATATTATTAATAACCATCTTCATTTGACAGGATATCTAGATCAGCACAAATTGAAAGAAATAGCAAGATTATATTTAAGGATTTTGAATATTAAGCTGTAGTAGTGTTTTTTAATGAGACAACCTTATTCATTATTCTCAATGATAAAACAGAAATGTTTTGAGTCTAGCATAATCTATCAATTAAAACTTTTGATTTACCAAAGGTGAGTGTTTAGAATTACATTATGTTAATAACTGGAATTTGAGTTTTCAAAGAATTCATTGTCATTTTAGTTAATGAATATTAAAAACAATATTGCAGGAGCAATATAAGTTTCAAGTATTGCAATTGATTATTCTACCAAATAGTGGACTAACTTTGTTATTTGAAAATGGCCTCTGCTTTTGAACTAATTTTCAAACATGTTCGTACTATGTCAACTGCCGGAAATTACAGAGAGTTGAGCGAATATCTCAGTAAATTTTCAGAGGTTTTGCTGAAGAATGGTTCTTTGCTTGATTCTTCATTAGATTCCTTGAATATGCAACAGCACTCAATTGGATATCTAGCTATATTGTGTGCTAAATATAAATTATCCCAGAATTCAGACTACTTACCATTATTTAATCGGGCAGCAGAGTTTATAAACTTATGTAATGGAGAACAAATTAGATTTGCTGTAGATTCTTTTGTGGAACTGTGTCATTATATAACAGCATCATTGGTAGAAGCAAAGGAGCCTATAAGGGTGTTGAAACTTTGTCAAAAGCTATTACAAAGTTGCAAATGTTTGATTCACAATTAACATCTATTCATGCAGATCTTTGTCAACTGTGTCTTTTATCGAAGTGTATGAAACCAGCTTTGAAATTTCTAGATGTGGATATAACTGCTATCAATAATGAGAGCAATTTAGGGTCTCGTTATTTCTTGTTATACTACTATTATGGTGGCATGATATACTTATCCTTAAAGAATTACAATCGTGCTCTCTATTGCTTTGAGGTTGTGATCAGTACTCCAGCACTTGCAATTTCCCACATTATGTTGGAGTCTTATAAAAAATTCATATTGACATCACTTATAGTAAATGGCAAGTTACCAGCTTTATCCAAATTTAGTCCACAAGTTGTTCAACGATTTATCAAGCCTCTTTGTGAAGCTTACCATGATATAGCAACAGCGTACATATCCAATAATTGTAATGAAGTCAACTCAGCCGCCTTTAAAAACCAGGAAGTTTTTGTTCGAGACAAAAATATGGGACTTGTTAAGCAAGTCATTCAACACTTGTTCAAGAAGAACATACAAAGGCTAACTAAAACATTTTTAACATTATCACTATCTGATGTTGCGTCTAGAGTACAGCTTGACAGCTCAGTAGAGGCAGAAAAATATATATTAGATATGATTGCTGATGGATCAATATTTGCACGCATCGATCAAAAGAATGGTATGGTAGTGTTTCAAGATACACCAGAACAATATGATAGCCCCATTATTATGGAGATTCTTGATAAGAGTATGACTGCTTGCATTGAACTTGATAAACAAATACTGGCAATGGATGAAGAAATAAATATTAATCCACATTACTTAAAAAAATCGATTGGGAGCCAGGATGAAGATATGCCTCCTACAGCACCAACAACTAAATCAACTTTTACAATCTAAATACTTACTAATAATATCAAATAATTACTTATATTTTCGTTAATAAAGCTAACTATACAAATTGAAATGACTAGAATTGAAAAAAAATTTCAGGTTTAATTTTAAACAGAATTTGGACAGATTGTATATCAAATATAAAAATTTACTAAATATGAAGGTTAAAATTAAAAAATATGAAACATACTTATATCAACTACAACATATTTGACACATAAGTTTAGAAATATTTATCGATCAGGATTGTAAAATAATTTCAGTTGTTCAAGACATAATAGCTTTAATATTAAAAAGTTCACAATAAATCATAAGTAATTCAAATCTGTTGTTATAAATAAAGTTAATATGAAATGCAAAATCTTAAGATTCATTCCTGATGTATACAATACTTTGAAACGAATTTGTAAATAATATACATTATTTACAAGTACAATAAAAGCACATAAAAAAAAAGTCATAAATCACAATAAATACCTGAACTCATCCTGTAACTCATTAGTGCACTAATGATTTTATAGGTCACGTTCTCGTTTATTCTGATGCATTAGATTTTTATAATAGTTCACTAAACTGAACGTAAACGTTTTAATATTTTTATTTAAAAATTTCGATCTCGAAAAATTTGAATAATACCGAATGCACTAAAATATTTTTACCGACATCTAAATTAAATGAGTCATAAGCACATATGACAAGATTATCACAAATTGTTCCTACTTCAATAACAGTCATGAATAAAACTTTATAATTTATAATTTACAATAAGACTACATTCAACCGATTAAATAAAAATTATTCTTGAAATTTAAAATGGAAAAACTTGTACGTTGGTATTCTGTTCTTCTTGAAGCATTTTTTTTTCGAATGTTGTCTTTTCTGATTTCATGCTAGTGTCTCCCTCTGGCCTGTCGGCTGTCGGCGCCATGATTGTTCGTTGCGCTGCCTTGTATATAGGCAAATTAAAACTACTGTCACTTTAGAAAGACGAGTGATATTCATAAAAAATATCTGTAATTGTAATACAACGTGAATGAGTTTGTAATGTTTAATACGATTTCTGGTGAATGTTCGTCTATAAAGTGTAAAAATTGCAGGGGTGTGTGTGCAAGAAGACATGTTTAGTTGAATTTAGAACCGACAGAGCACAAAAATTGTGTCAAATTTATCAAGTTATTTTTAAATATTATTTTGTTGGCTTTGCCTCTAATAGCTATACAGATCTATAATTATATGTGAGAGTTATAAATATTCATAGTCTACTAGTTAGACTCGAGTGTTTGCAGAATATTTTATGTACCCAGTTGCCATTTTAAAAGAAGAGGGTGGCATCGAAAGTGCTCCTATTTTCGGTCACACATAATGCTGTTTTGAATCTTTAACCGATTTAAAATAAAAATAAAGTTTATACAGAAAGTTAATGTTTTATCTTGCAAAAAATCGATTTTCTCGTATTTATAAACAAGTGAGTAAATATTGCAAATACGTAATGGAAAGGTACAACTTGCATCAATACCTTGCATAGTTTTATTTTCAAATAAATAGAATATCAAACACCAAACAGTGAGGACATAAGTTCATTTCGTCACATGACCGCTTATCTACTTGTCAATTGTGTCGCCATTCTATAAACAAATACAAATCTTCTTAAAATCAATCTCTTTGCAGAGTAAATTAAGCACAAATTTTACTTCCCATTGAAAAGTCACTCATATACGCGATATCAAAACGAGTGATAAACTTTGCAATTAGTTTATGCGTGCTCAAGTGACGGATCTGTGATTTAGTGTAATTCTATATGTAGGCTTAATTTAGTGTATACAGCGAAAGTGGCGCGCAACGGCGAACCGCGCGGGGCGGAGTCTCCCGAGACCTCACCCGAGGGGGCAACTTGTTGGTAAGTGTTAATACATAATATTTATTAAAAGTTTCTTATCACATATCTGCACGACTTTATGAGGTACATGTGAATCTGAATCTTATAAGAGAAATGTCATCCGTCAGATATTTTTGACAGATTCATGGGTTTCTTATTGGATTGCAGATTGGACAGGTTCATGGGTTTCTTATTGGATGTTCATGTTATTTAGATAAGCATTACATTTCTTAATCAGTCAGTCAGATTCTATTCGATATTTGTATAAAATATTTTCATGTGGTAGGAATTTGTGATGCTGTATGAACCCAGTTCAAAAACTGCCTCCTTTTTGTAATAATTATTTTGATGTTCCTAAGTACTTTCCTTATTTTGTGAATTGCAAATTTTTCACATAACTTGGTTTTGGAATATTGAGATTGTATATTAACCAACTAAGATTGTATATTTATCAGGTTAGAATACACTAGTTGATCTAAACTAAACAGAATCATAGTATTCTTGTAACTTCGTCTTACTACATTAGCATTTTTTAGACAGAAGTTTTAGGGAATGTTTTATGTAATGTGTAGAGCTTTAATTTGACAAATTTAAAGACATTATCAATGGTATTGTGAAATTAATAAAGACCAATTGCTTAATTGCAATTAAACCATTATCATTGGTAATTTAGTTTAGTGGAACTTTTCTGGTCAGTCAGTTTTATTTTGCAAAAATTAGATATGATATTTATATCTTTCTGGAATAAAAACATACTAGTAGAAATCATAGTTGATAATATTTTTTAATTGCAATGAATGCCTTGTCATATTGTTGTTATAGATAAATTTCTTGATGTTTCAATGACTCATTGAGATGCATATGTATAGATGTTTTTGTGACAAGTTCGTTAGGAATCTTTTTTTATTAATAATATCATATAAGTTGTGATTAATAAGCTTAATAAATTCCTTTTATTTACTGTTGTATTTCACAAAAATTTGTTAAAAACGTTGCTATAAAATTAATTTTTTTAGGAAGTAATACTTTTAACAATAGCAAAACCAATTAGTGCAATCATATATATTTCTGTATTAAACTTGATCTCTGTTATTAAAAATAATTTTATAGATAGTTAAGACAAAATTGAAATTCTGGAACTGAAATTTTAAATAGAAATATTATTTTTAAGAAGATATTTTAGATTTTTTCTGGTTAAATTCATAATGTTTTGAATTATTTATATTACTCATTATGGTTCACCAGGTATTCGTCAATACGCCTTGATTTAATTATTCTATATAGTTATATAAGTCATTGATACTAAATGAAAAAAATTATATATATATATATATATATATATATATATAAATTACATATTATAATATAATATATATAAGTATTTATGTTTTTAAAAATTGGTTTAATTTCGTCGTCGTATTGATTTATGCTAATATAATTAACTGTTTTATAATTAATATAATTAAAATTTCCAGAATTATTTTTCTCCTTAAAATTTTTATTATAAAAATTTATACTTATTACCTGTGGACACTAATTAATGAACTTTTGGCAATATGTAGGTATACTATTAAAAAAACATGTCCTGAACTCCTGAAATGATTTTGAACTTGTTGTACTACCGAAAAAATCACCTTGAAGTATTATTAACTATTAATTAAATGGAATTCAAGACTCTTAACACTTCTTGGTGTCTTAGTAATAAAAGAATATATTTATTTGCCTAGATGTTTCGACATACAATTCTATGTCATCATCAGTAAATCTACCAAAGAAAAAATTACAAACTACCTTCTATTTTTTCTATCATTTAAGGTTGTAAGTTATCCACTGATGATGACAAAGAATTGTATGTCGAAACGTCTGGAAAAAAAAATATGTGATAAAATCTTTACCTTTTTTCTCCATGTTAATATCTTCATGACTCTGATATTCATATTCCTCTGATAGTTCTAGTCATAGATAAGGAATGGTCCTAGTTACTTCTTTCTCTCCTGGGAAAGAGAAATAATTTTGGAGCCATCAGGGTTACATACTTTTCATCACCAAATTGATAAAATCTTTACCTTTTTTCTCCATGTTAATATCTTCATGACTCTGATATTCATATTCCTCTGATAGTCCTAGTCATAGATAAGGAATGGTCCTAGTTACTACTTCCTTTCCTAGGAAAGAGAAATAATTTTGGAGCCATCAGGGTTACATACTTTTCATCACCAAATTGATAAAATCTTTACCTTTTTTTCTCCATGTTAATATCTTCATGACTCTAATATTCATATTCCTCTGATAGTCCTGGTCATAGATAAGGAATGGTCCTAGTTACTACTTCCTCTCCTAGGAAAGAGAAATAATTTTGGAGCCATCAGGGTTACATACTTTTCATCACCAAATTGATAAAATCTTTACCTTTTTTTTCTCCATGTTAATATCTTCATGATTCTGATATTCATATTCCTCTGATAGTCCTGGTCATAGATAAGGAATGGTCCTAGTTACTACTTCCTCTCCTAGGAAAGAGAAATAATTTTGGAGCCATCAGGGTTACATACTTTTCATCACCAAATTGATAAAATCTTTACCTTTTTTTCTCCATGTTAATATCTTCATGACTCTGATATTCAGATTCCTCTGATAGTCCTAGTCATAAATAAGGAATGGTCCTAGTTACTACTTCCTCTCCTAGGAAAGAGAAATAATTTTTGTTCCATCAGGGTTACATACTTTTCATCACCAAATTAAGTTTTCTTATAGAAAATAATTACGATAAAAGCCCTTACTAGCTTTTAAATATCAATTTTTGTATCCTATCCACAATTAATATTCCATCATGACCTTAGTCAATAATTTTCAGTAACTCCTTTTGGCTCTTACCTTAAAGATGGAAGAAAATGGATATTTATATTCTATTTTTTTCTGTATCTCATTTGCCAAGTGGTCTTCGTGTACCAATATCTATTTTAAATAGTATCTATTTTGCTGGAACTGCATTAATCGTCATTTAGATTATCATTTATCTATGATTATCATATTAGGTCCACCCTGGTCTTTGGATCTTACATTAAACACTGTAGTAAAAAAAATTTCTATTATTTTTTTTCGGTGTATCATTTGTAAATGATTCTAATTTGCTTACAAATTTTATTTTTTTTACTGGAAATATAAGAAATAGTCATTTAGATTATCATATCAGGTGGGCACCCTGGTCTGCCATGGGTTGTTTCGGTTCGGCGGGCTCCAAACAAGCGGAGGGTGCCGGTGGCAGCTCTGATGACACCAAATCACAAAAAAGAAGAAGCGATGCCATCACCAGGCAGCTGCAAAAGGACAAACAGGTAAATATTTAGTAGAAATTTGTCCAATTTATAATCGTTTATATTTACTATACTTATATCTGAATTTTATTAATTTTGTTACCGAGCAACCCATCGTCTCCTGCTCCTTGGCGCTGGTGAATCTGGAAAATCAACAATAGTCAAGCAAATGCGAATTTTACATGTGAACGGATTTTCAGAAAATGAAAAACGTCAAAAAATAGACGACATCAAGAAAAATATTCGAGATGCTATATTGGTAAGTGTAATAAAGTACACATAAAATATTTTTGATTTTGGAACAATTATCTGGACATGCCGATGCCAGAAATTTTAAATTACTTCATATTAAATTAGTGTAAATAACAGTTTGCGATTATAATTTTTATTTACTGATCAAATTTATTTCCTTCACAGACTATCACTGGAGCCATGAGCACCTTAACTCCTCCCATAGCCTTAGAAAAACCAGAAAATCAAGCTCGAGTTGATTATATTCAAGATGTTGCTTCTGGTACACATTTTACAGATGATAAATAAATATCTCTTTTTTTCAAGTTATTTAAATTATGATTTTTGTAATTTTAGGCCCAGATTTTAATTATCCGCCTGAATTTTATGAACACACTGAAGCCTTGTGGAAAGACCGAGGCGTCATTCAGACATTTGAACGATCGAATGAATATCAATTAATCGATTGTGCAAAGTAGTAAGTAGTTTTTATACTTTATATTTGATGATGCACTTTTTTGTTATTATGAATAATTTATCATCTGGGTAGATATTATTTTTAATAATATTATTTTTATCTAGTTTTCTGGATCAAGTGAGCATAGTAAAACAACCCAATTATACACCTTCCGAGCAAGATATACTGCGCTGTCGTGTCTTAACATCTGGAATATTTGAAACGCGTTTTCAAGTAGATAAAGTTAACTTTCAGTAAGTTCTACGAACATATATTTTATAATTATTATATTTCTAATTCTAATTATTAATATGACTTTATTAATTAGTATGTTCGACGTCGGTGGCCAGAGAGATGAACGTAGAAAGTGGATTCAATGTTTTAATGATGTGACAGCTATTATTTTTGTAACTGCTTGCTCTTCTTACAATATGGTTCTAAGAGAGGATCCCACACAGAATAGATTGCGAGAATCTCTTGATTTGTTCAAAAGTATCTGGAATAATAGGTAAATTCACTTTTATCTTGGATATCTCTTTTATAATGGTATGGAATTAATATATTTACTCTTCAGATGGCTGCGTACTATATCTGTGATTTTATTTTTAAATAAACAAGATTTATTAGCAGAGAAAGTTCGTGCTGGTAAGAGTCGCTTAAGCGATTATTTTGCCGATTTTACTCGATATTCGACGCCGGGAGACGCATGTGCAGAGCCTGGTGAAGAGCCAGAAGTAGTTCGGGCCAAATATTTTATTCGTGATGAATTTCTAGTAAGTTTGAAAACATAAATACTAAAACTCGAGACAAATTATGATAATTTTTGACTATTTTTAAATAATTGATTTTAAAATATAATGTATATATACTAAAAATTAAATTGATTTTTCAGCGTATTTCTACGGCAAGTGGGGATGGGAAACATTATTGTTATCCTCACTTTACCTGTGCAGTTGATACTGAAAATATCAAAAGAGTATTCAACGATTGCAGAGATATTATTCAACGCATGCACCTAAGACAATATGAGCTGCTATAAATTTGGTCCTAGTATAATATGCAAAATAACAGCACAACTTTAATTAAAAACCATTTACAATATATTATGCTAAACTTTCAGTCAATAAGAAGAATATCAAAAATGATGTGAATTTACTGAGGTAAGTTTACATGCTTTTCTAAAAACATGATTAAGAATTAGTTTTCACAGCATATTTACATGCTCCATTAGTAATGGAGTTTGTATATTGAACATGAGCGTTAAGTATGGTTTATTTGTATTTAGGTTCTATGAAATGTATTTCTTTTTAATTTTTCATGTGTGCATATTTCAACATAGATAATGCTGGTATTCTTTACTATAGGCGTATTCTTTATATATTGTGCAATAGAAATCAATGTTAAGAAAAGAAATAACATTTTAAATATTAGTAACTATGTTATTTAAATTTTGTCACATGTCCAATGGTGTTATATCTCATCTAAATAAGTAAATTAACAGCATTTTGTAAATATGTGTGCAAGAAATTGAATGGATTTACAATGATCAAAAATTACAAAAGGCTGACATTTGGGCAACAATTATTTATTAAATCTAACGTTTTAGATTTTTAGATAGGATTAATTTTATTTTTAATTTTGCTTGGGAATCTCCTTTTTATATGAATAAATTTGCATGTGATATAATTATATGTCCAAACACTTAAAATTATGTTTCCGTTTTGATTTAAAATGCACATTTATTAGATCTCTTGTAAATCAATAAAATGTAAGTTAATGTGTCAAATTTCAGATGTATGTGCTATTTATAATGTTATAAGAATTAATGCATAAGCTATTTAATATTATCAATTTTTTAAACTAAGCATTTTATTTATATCTTTTAATTTGTAATCCATTTCATATTCCTTGCATTTCTAATATTTGCAATACAATGATTTGCACAAAGCTGAGGGCATAAAATGTAGCTTAGAAATTTTTGTTTAAGTTATTTGATCACCATTGGTTATAAAAAGTTCAGTCAAGGGCAGCTTATAAAAAAATTATTTTAACACAAAAGCTATTAGTAATTTATTTTAAAATTTTAATTTATTGTTACAATTGTTTATTTCAAAGTCTATCTGTTATTGAAGTTGTTATATACCTCGATATATTTGAATGTTTGTTCTTTGCATTTTTCATAAAGTTTAAATGTTTCTATACTTGTCGCTATTCATATTCAGATGAAAAATCGTAAATTATCATCAAAATAAACTATATATAAAAAAGTGCAGTATTGCATCTTCTGTAAATTATGTAAATATCTAAGCTAAGATAAAAATATTACAATTATTTGATACTAATATAATGTATCTTGTGGTTAATAGCATAGCCAGCAAATATGTCTCGAAATAGCATTGATTAGTATTACTATATTATGTGACCTGATTTTTATATTAATTAGTTTATTATAAATTCAGTTCATAATATATATTTGGGAGGTTGTAAATTTTGAATTGGAATGAATTAATTTGCAAATAAGAGTATTTTTTATTTTACGAAGTTTTTATGCGCGGATTTATTAACTGTGTCTTACTACAGTTTAAAGTATTTGTCAATTTTTTATCAATGGTACTTTCTGGACAGAAAGACACTATCGAATTCTGGCTATGCTAATTTGATGTATACTGTATTTATATCCAAATTTAAATATTGTCAGTGATGTGAACACATTTTATGTATTAGGAAATAATATATGGATAAGCGCGTCCTATACCCTGTTTTATCAGAATTGTAAAAATTTATTGAATCCAACATTATAGGATTTCAATTAGTTTTAGAGTTAAATTATATATATATTTGTGGATGTCGGTTATGTACATACATGCATTTTATGCGACATTTTGGGTTATATGATCTTTAAACATCTGAACTGTAAGTCTTTTTTCATATAGATTTATTAAAAAGAATATTTTAAAAATTGAATTCTTCCTAAACTATTGTTAAGGAATAAAAAAACATCATCATACATTTATAAACTTAGCTAATTACTATAAAATTGTAAGAATTCATTTTATACCTTAATGATTAACCATATTCCAATTAAAACACTTAGAAGACATTAAAAAATCAAAAGCACTAAAAACTTTTATGGAAAATCGAAATATACGTCTTTGCTCTTCCGAGCACTGGTTAAACAAAAATCAATTCATTTTTTTTAAAAGATTATTCATATTTTTGGGGTGTCAATGATCTTATTAGTTTAAATATTTTTCTAATCTGTAGAATTATTAATTGCAGTAGTATTTTGTCAACGCATTTTCAAAGTTTATAATGCGTTTTGAATTGGAAATGATTAGCCATTAAGGTAGAAAGTGAATTTTTTCAATGTTATAATATTAAATAAGTATAAATGTTTTTTTTTTGTTTCATTTATCAATAGTTTTTGAAGAATGGAACATCCCATAAGTCTGCAACTTTGAATAAAATAATATCAACTTTTAAGATAAAAAAAGGAAGCTTTTAGTTCAGATGTTTAAAAATCATAATTTCTTCCATGGATACTTAAACAGACAGTTCCATATATGGTGAATGTGCATTAAAAACATTTTTTAATTCACATATGCCAATAGTTGATTCATTAGAGCAAACAATAAAGGTGGCATCGGCTTGATTCTATATGTTCGCACAAATGCTGTCAAATGCAGAATTGATACCATTTTCCACAGAGCATAATTATCAGATGGTTTTTTAAGCTAATTTTACATAAAATTAACAACTTAATTCGATTGGCAATTAAAAGATCAACTGATTATTATATTTTTTTGGTGATGGTGATTATGCATATCCACTTTGTCGGACAAGTTACATACTTCCATAATATAAAAATTGTACATATTAGCAATGCATCAAATGCAACAACTGTGCAATAAGTTCTGTTAATTGTAGATATAACAAATTAATCATAATGCGTTTTTTTTTTCTTGCTGTAAGCATATAATATATATTTATGTCTCTATAACATGAGCCAAATTTATAGAATCATTATTTAAAAGAATTCGCACAATCAATGTATCTGTGGTTGATGTTATATAGCAATGATAAATTATCTATATTTACTTTATTGTGACAAAATCATCTAAAATTTGATAGGGGATAGAATCTCTAGAGCATCTACATTTCAAATTATACGATTTGAAATTGAATTTACTGGGATATGTAAGATTAATTTAATATTGATTGCAACTTATTTTTAAATATAGAACATATTTGCAATATAAATGTTGTTTTTACTGATCTATAATAATTTGTCATTGCATAAAATTAATTATAATATGGACCGCTAGATCATAAAACCTATAAAATCATGATGAGTATATAACACTATATGTAAGGCGTACACAGAAATACATTGCTTATATATGTATAAAATACATACATGTATAATACACGTATACCAACTTTACACAGGACGATTTAAAAAAACGATACTTTCGGTTTTTAATCCGTGTTATCAATTTATTATTGCAGTTTTATATCTTGATTGTACAACCTTATTCAATTTGTAACAAAGATGAACTGTCAGACTAAAAAATAAATATATGTAGTTAAATAAATTATGTTGTAATTTATAACAAACTATTTTTTATTGAATCTTTAGCATTACAATAAAAAGGAGTCTGAATCTCATATTTAGGTAATGAATAATTTTACATTTTCAATATTACACAGAAAATTTTGAAAAAAAATCTAATTTTTCTATTAAAACTTTTAAATTACGGTACGGAAAGTTTCAGCAATTTGCCTTAATTAAATTAAAACAATATCAAAACATTTTGAATTTAGTTATATCTAGGCTTGAGATTTGCAACAGCCTTTGCTTTCCTAGTTTTCGTGAACTTAACATAAAATTTTTGAATCTGTTTAATTTCATATAGTAATCAATATCCTGATTTGTGTTAATTTTTCTACATGTTTTGATGTTATTGTGTATTATTTTATGTATTAAGATACATATTTTATTTCTTTTATCTCTTCATTTTAAAATGCAATGTCGTGCATGCGTGGTCACGTGAATCTGACACGTTTCCAACATACAGAAAATAACCAATCAGAATCAAGCATGAAGGCAGAACAGATCGTGTTTTGCTCACAAAGCAACAACACTGTACTGATAACAGATAATATCCAGCTGTTTCCAGACCGTCTAATTTCAAACAATTTACTATATATTATTTATTATTAATAAATAAAAATCAATCATGTCTAGTACAGAAGAATCCTGTCAGCTGAAAGCAGGACATCCTCCAGCAGGTTTGGGTTTATTTATAACATTTGTTTGTAAACAAGGCGTGTGATTCACTTTATGTATTTTGTTAATTTTATTTGTTTTTTTATAAATTAGTTAAGGCCGGAGGCATGCGAATAACTCAGCACAAAGTCACTCATTCGGAAAGGCCTGCAAAAGATGCTGAGGATGTTACTGGATTAACAGTTTCATCAAGGTTAGTTTTATTGTTGTCACATATGTTTGTCACATACAATACGCAATATAATTAAGGAGTGGTGTGTTATATAGATAATAACTTAATGTTTGATATGTAGTATTTTTTAATCTTACACTATACAGCACTTTGGTTGTACTATATGTTTTCTTGATTAATTGCTGACTTAATTGTGAAGCTTATATATTCTATATAATTCAACCACATTCATATTTTCCTTCACATCTTGCCTTTTCACAGCTAAATTTGCTATTTTGGAGAAGTGATGTGCTTTGTGATAATAAATTTTGTTTGAAATGCAGTACTTTTTAATCATACACTAAACAACCCTTTAGTCTTATTAGATTTCATTATAATTCCCACTTATGATTCTATTCATGAACAGGCATTACTCCTAAAAACAGATTCATTTTTTAAATATATTGATTTTTTACATTTGTTATTACTACATTTCCTTTATTAGTAATACTCCATTTAGAGTTTGAGCTTGTATATGATCCGTTTTCTATTATTTAGTGCTCCCAGTGCTGTTACCGCTGTATCAGGAGCCACTGTAAAAGGAAATTCTGATTTCTCTCCAGAGGCAGCACAGGCTGCACATGCCCCTAAACCTCCAGTACAGCACTGCCAGAAACCTGTGGCTCATATTCAACAGCCCCGCAAGTAGATACAGGTCTTTTTAACAAGTCTCAAGTTATAATTCATTGTTGTTATTGCAATAAACTTTACCTTTGATCTCTTTCCAATTATCTATAAAAATTCATTCCAAAATTACTGCAATTATTTAGAGTCACAGATTAATAATCTTAAAAGGTTTCGAGTTAGTGTGTTACATTAAGATTTTCTCATGCTTGACAGAATCTTAGTTTTTCTTTGGTTGTTTTATAATTTAGAAAAAAGGTGAAGGTGTGATTTGAGAGATTGTAAATGCTTGGCACTATTCTATGAGATGTATAAAATATATTTTTAATATTTTAATGATTTATATTTAAATAAAGTGTTACATTTAATAATAATGTATATAATTGCAATACGTTTGATTACATTTTTTAGTTTTCCATATGTAACTTTATATTTGAATATTTAATACATTGCAATTAAAAGAACTTTTAGAATTTTTAATTGTAACATTTTATTCATCTTCATCTTTGGAAGCATATTTATTCCAGACTGTTTTTGCATTTCCTGCATTAATCTTATCTTTCTTTTTATCAAGTGGTGTTAAATGAGCAGCGTCAACTATATCTCTGTGAATAATAAATTAAATTTAATATCTGTAATTACTAAATTCTGTAAAATATTACCTAAATTCATCATAGTTTTGGGAGCTGTAAACAGCTCTCATCTTGGCATCATTTCTCAGCCAATATATTTTATCTTGGTCCACATTATTTTGCAAAGTTTTGTTCAAATCTAACAAGTCATTTGCATTCAGTTTTGTGTTAACATCAACTTTATTATTCACAGACATTTTAAAAATAATTTTTTGATAAATTGATATTGAATCAAAAACAAGTGAATTGTAGTCATGGAAACAAAACCTTGAATGCCTAGGCAAAATAATCATGGCACACATATTTGCATACCAAGATAATATATTTACCATACCTTTAATATATTTTAGATCTTTTTCTAAATTTTTAAACTGAAGATAATAATATCTTCAAAATTGAGATTTCTTGAGAAATCACCACAGGATACATTTAATAAATATGCGATTAGTCCTATATCACATGCCTGATATTTAATAAACTTTAGTGAAAATAATACAATTGCATCATGGCATTGTATAACAATTTATTCAAGTTTATATTCTATCGTATTGTGACTCCAAATGTTTGTACAACTTTATCACTAATTTTTGAATGTAATTCATTAACTTCTGCTTGTGTTAAAGTTCTTTCCATATGGCGGTATGTTAAGCGGAAGCATAAACTTGACCGGCCTGTTTTTGGATGGACAAAGCTGTCTATTTGTTTGACCTGTATAAAAATATTTTTTATAATTTTTGTATAGACATAATATACCATATGTTTCTTACTTGTTCTAATGTATTTCCAGCAATATCTCTAACAATATCATAGAAATCATTTAATACGAATTCCTCAATGGTTGTGTCGTTTGGTAGCCAAAATGATAAATCATTAATGCACTGAGGGTATACTGATACTGGTTTATATTGTATATCTTTATATAAATCAGTTTCATTGAATTGGTTTAAAAATCCTGAATCTTTACTCCAAAATAATCTTATATCAGGAATATCATACAAAACCATAGCTAGCCTTTCCAAACCAATACCAAAGGCATATCCGATAGTATCCTCAATTACTCCTGCTTTCTGCAATATTTCATTCCTAACTATACCACATCCTAGTACTTCTAACCATCTATTTTTGTAATATATTTCCAGTTCCCAAGACGGATATGTGAATGGAAATTGAGTGTCCGTCCAACGTGTTTTAATATTCTCTCCAAATAAAGATTTTGATAAGCCTGATAAAGTATTTTTCAACTCATGTTCAGCCAACTTAACAGATTCAAGTGTATGACAATCCTGTTTCAAATAGTCATTAATAACTGCATTTTTAGTATTTGTTTTCTCAAATATTTCAAGCTGACCATCGCTTTTAAACAGCTGATGTTTATTCAGAAGTCTCAATCCATCTATCTAAAGTAATATTTAAATATTATTTGCTTATTATGACATTCATGTTTTATTCAAAATAAAAGTAAACCTGGTGAAAAACAGGATAATGTGTAGAATCAATCTCGTCCCTCCTAAAAACTTCTCCACATACTAAAAAGTTATTAAGCCCTGATCGCAACAAATCCACTTGATGTGCTGTTGTATGTGCTCGAAGTAATTCATTTGAATTTATATAATAACAATCAGATTTTGCTCGACTTGGATGGGATTCAGGTATTAAAAGATTATCAAAATTTTGTTGTACAGTAACTATAGGATGCAAATCATCATAAACACTGAATAAGGGGTTACCTTTTGCATTGACAAATCTTTTATAAAAGTAGTTGATTATTCTTTTTCTTATAAGGCATAAAGGATGATTGGGAGTAGTATGTAAGTTTGTCCCTAAAAGGGATAATATTTTAGGTGTTACATTAGTAAAATCATCTAGTAAATATTTGCTGTTTCCAACTGTTAAAGCGTTCTCTCCTAATGTTTTTACACTGTATTTTCGTAATAAGACGTGTACAACTTTATTACAATTGGATTTAAACATGATAGAAAACATGTTAGTATATTGAATCTTTAAACCCAGTATTTATAAAAATATCATAGCTTGTGACTTTGTAGTTTTCGAATGCTTGGCATATATGTTTCCCAAATTTGGCTAAATTTTTTCATTTACTGCTCCCTATGGCTTACAAATCTTTATATCGTAAATATATTATATAATTATTTATACAGACACTGATATGGTTTTCTTGTTTAGCGCATAGTTAAAGAAACATATTTAGCACATGTCATTAAAGACATGACATATGACACATTTTAGCATATGTCAGTTTGGCAACCGGATAGGTGTCACTCCGTGTCAGCAACTTTTTTTTGGTTTAATCGATTCTCAAAACCTTCGATACATCTTCGATAATCTGTATATACAAATAGAAATAAATTTAATAATTTAGAAATTTTGGTTTCTGGTCAATTTGATACAGGAGCTATTTGACTATTAATCATAATTAATTCTTGTACAATTCTAGTCTATGTCTAATTTTTAAGTAGCTGCTTCAAATTTTATGACAAATAATTTCCAATTTGTAACTAATTCTTATTTTAAATCTATAATAGATGGATACCAAAATCCTAAGTAGATTTATATAATGTAGTATTTGTGTAATTTTTGAGAATTTCCAAAAATTATCTTCGAAAAGCACCTTTCGAAGAAAACGTAAATGTCAACATATACATGTTTTGTGTATATTGCTTTGTTCGTAATGTGATTGGTTGAAATTGACAAGGTTTGTAGTTCATATTTTATAAACATGTCTGCAGAAGTTGAAGTAAATAAAATAAATCCTGAAAAGGTAAATATATGTAGTGCAATAATTATTAAACTTATATGAATGATGTAAAGTTTATATTTTAAAGATTTAAAATGCTTATGTTATAATTTTACGTCTTTTGAATGCCGCGTATGTTCAATATGGCTGCGTTTTAACACGAATACGCGGGAATGTTGTATTTATATTTATTGAATTAATGCTGAAAGTATAGGTATAATCTTAATAATCGAAATATTAATGAGAAGAATATTGTTTTGCAAAACGTTTAGCATTAGTTTTTAGGTTAATTTCAATTTCTTAGTATTCAAATGGGACCTTTAATTGTAGGCTGAAGACAAAACCGAAGATATGGGGGACGCCGATGATAAAAGTGATACCAATAAGAATAATACCCCCGTAGATTCAACTGAAAAAAATGATAAAACAGGTTCTTAAATAAATTTCATTATCTGTTTAACCTAATACTGATTAATTTTCATCATATGAAATTTCAGAAGATGCATCACCAAATGCAGATTCTAAGAGTGAAAAATCTGATCATAAAGAAAATACTGAAAATGGAGATGTTCCTGATAGTATAGAAGATAAGAACTCAAAAGAAACGAAAGAAACATCAAAAAGTAAAACTGAAAATGAAGGCAGTGATGAGGAATCTGAACAAGATTCAGCAGAAGAAAATGAAAAAGATGCAGAAGAATCAGAAGATGAGAAACAAGTTCGAAATTCTTTTATTTTTGAATTGCTTCCATTAACAAATAGCAATTTATTTTTTAATTTGGGCTAGACTAGTTATTGAATTTGTTTAATCTTTATAGGATAATTCATCAAAAGCTAAAACAGGAACTCGTGAAAGAAAACAAGTTCAAAGGTACTCTGATGACGTTTCGGATACTAAAGAGGTAATAATCCTTTTAATCATGTTTTATATACAAACACATGTATACAATACATATATAAATTCTAACAGATTTGTGGACAATCAAATGTTTTACATTTTTACTTTAAGAGTCAAATGAATGAAAGACTTTTCATTAAAATGTCTTTTAACAAACAGATTTTAAAAATAATGTACAAGTAGGAACTTTTTTATTGCAGTGATACCATCCTCCTGAATTATGAATAGCTTTTTTTTGTAATTTTGGTATATCTTTAATTCACAAAATTATTATTTTATCAGCAAGTATTAGGTAATCAGACTATAAAATGATATTCTTTTTCTGTTTATAAATTCTCTTAAATATTGACATTAAATTTTTTACTATACAAGTTAATCCAATTTTTTGTTTAAAGAAATCGGAGGAATTTGGAGTTTCTCTAGGAGATATTGTATCTATTGACAATAACTTAGGGCGTGCTAAACCAGATGATCTTAAAGCTCTTCACAAGGTTTGTGGTTTGAAGTTCCATTCTTTATTTAATCTGTATTTTTTTCGGTAGCATTCTTCTAATTAATGCTTTCAACATCTTAGTTACTTTTTAAAAATCCTGGGAAAAGCAACATGATTAAAAGAAATATCCGCAAGTTTAATGGATTTGATTTTAGTGAAGATTCTGAGCAATATACATCTAAGTTAGAGACTCTCAATAAAATGGACATCAAGCAGATTAAAACATTCTGTGATATTTTGGATATTGAAAAGAAAGGTCTGTAATAAGATTAGTATTTTTTTATTTTAATCAGATACTAATATAGTTCTATCTCACATATAGGAACCAAAGAGGAATTGGCCAATAATATTTGTGAATTTCTTATGAAACCTAAAGATAATAATATCATACAAGAAAGTACTGAAGATACACCATCAGGAAGGCCAAAAAGATCTGCTGCAATCAAAGCCTCAGCTAAGGGTATTTATGAGATTTTTGTTTGTATTATTTTTTTTATTACATCTTAATATTTACATGAGATCTAAAAAATCACCACTGATTTTAAAATATTAGGTTTTAGTGATTCTGATGATAGTGATGAAAGAGGTCAAAGAACTGCTCGTGGTAAAGGGCAGAGATCTTCTTTAAGAGATGAAACCAGTAGCGAATCGGATGTATGTTATATTGCACTTTTTGCATAATTTTTCATTTTATGATGACCTGGAATAGAGAATAATAAGTATAATTTTATCATTTAATGATCCAGTACAATCCAAGTGGGTCTGAAGGTTCTGATGCTGGTCCTAAACGAGCTGTGAAGGGAAGAGGTCGTGGTAGACCACCAAAAACACAAGCTCGTAAAAGCCAGGATTATGGAAGTGATGCATCTGAACTATCTGAAGAATCAGAAGAAGTAGATAGTGATGTAAGAATTTGTAAATCATAGACACTTACTAATTATCACTTCATAATCTCAAACTACAATTTGAACTCATGGTTTTAAAAGATTTGTTTTGCAGAATAGACCTAATATTCTTAATATTCAAACTACAAAGAAGTTCTTTGTTTTATTAATCTAATTTTTGTATCTTTCTTTATATAAGACCTTTATTAAATAATATTTTGAAAACTTAAATTAGGCCCCACCTAAAAAACGAGGTAGAGCAGCAAAATCAACTAAAACTGTTGCAAAGAAATCACCACGAGCAGCAGCTAAAAAAAAAGTTGAGTCTGAAGGTAGTGAATCAGAAGAAGACAGTGCTGATGATAGTGATGTATGTATATGAATTTTTGACTTCATAATTTAAATAATTTCAAATAATGAATGTGCATATTTATTATTCAAGGAGCCTAAAGGCAAACGTGGACGTCCAAGTGGGAAAAAAGTGTCACCAGCAAGTAACAGAGGCAGGAAGCCTGCAGCATCACCAGGTAATAATAACTCAAATATAATATTATATTGTATCTATGTACTATATTGTAATATGATACTATTTTAGCAAAATCTCGAGGGGTTCCTAAAGAACAGCTGCTAATAAGAAACATTAAAAGATGGTTCCAGTGAAGAAAGTGATCAAGAAGACCCATCAGAAAGTGAAGATGAACCATTGTCAAAGAAAGGAAAATCACAACCACCTACTGTAAGTAATAAATAGATTCAGTTTTATTTTTCTGTACTCAAATAACATTTTGTTCTTTAGGATGAAGAATTGAAAGGGCTTGTGAAAGAGATACTGGATGGTGCTAATTTAGAAGAAATAACTATGAAAACAGTATGCAAACAAGTTTATGCAAAGTATCCCCAATTTGATTTGGCACATAAAAAAGAATTTATTAAAACTACAGTTAAATCAGTAGGTTTATTATAATTCACATTTAAGAAAACATATAGTTGGCTTATAAATAATTTGATTGATATTTTCAGCTTATATCAACTTGAAACTACTGAAAAGCATGAGCCTTAGGTTAAGGAATAGTTATATGTGGGTAGATTGATCGTAAGTTACATTAATAAAATTTTAACTGAATTTTAAAGGAGATTAGATTGATTAATTTAAAACAATGAGAATGAAAATTTTAACAAGTTCTAGTACAAAATTGATACTTCATGAATATCATTTATTATTCATTTTAAAAACAAATATTTGTTGATGATTGTAATTTAAGTTTTATGGCTAAACTTCTTTAAGATAATTGCTTGTTTAATTATACTATAATGTATTAAAGATTTGCTTTATAAAATATATGACTGTCCAAAATATGACATTTTAATTATGGATTTCAATACACAATTGTTAAAAAAAACTTATAGTTTATAATATGCAATTTTACAAACTCTGTTAGCATCTTGATGTACTTATGCTTTTTTATAAAAGTAATGAATGAGTATTTGTACACCAAAATATGCATGAAAGTTTAATACCTAAAGTAACCAGCTTATAATAAGTTAAAAACATGATATCCTAAAATAGTTCATTTATTATATTTAAAAAGTTACAATACAAATATAAGTGCATTAAGTCAAATATAATAAATACACAAAAAACTCAAAATTAATCAAATTTATAAACACTATGTAGTAATAAAATGATTTGCATATTTCTTCAATACAAAAACATTTATCTGGAACTGCTTGAACTAGACCTACTGTGCCTGCGTCTCTTTTGGGGACTCCTTGATCTACTTCGCTTTCTTGGGGGTGACCTCCTTCGAGGTGGACTGCGTCTTCTATATCTTGGGGGAGAACGTCCTCTCCATCTTGGAGCAGGTCTCCTGGAACCAGGAGGTGACATTCTTCGCACAGGCGGTCTAGGCTTTGGCAATAAAACTGGTGCTGCTGTTATTTCTTGCCCATCTATTTGACCACCATCCATGTGCTTCATAGCATCTTCAGCTTCATCTGGGGTTTGGTATTCAACATAAGCAAATCCTTTCCCATGTTGAGGATGAAATCTGTCTAAAGGAAAGTCTACTGATTTTATACTTCCGTAGACTGAAAATATTTCAAGAACATGTTCTTTTGTGACATTGCGAGTTAATCTGCCAATATGAATCCTAACAGGTCTTGGTGTAACAGAACGCTCCCTTCGTTTGCGACGAGGAGATTGGGATCGCGATCTGTTTTTAGGTTTGTCTTTCTCGACAGGCGGAGATTGACTACGCCTTGGAGGGACAGTTGTGTCTGCTTTAGGTTTATCAGTTTTTACTGGCTTCGATTCCCTACTTTTTTCTGCTTTGAGTTTTGGACTTCTACTACGTGCTCTATCTGATCCTTTGGGGCGAATTCTCTCTGATGCACTACTTGATGAGGACGAAGAAGATGAACTTGAAGATGATGATGAACTTCTGCTACTTGAACTTGAATCTGAAGAAGATGAAGAACTGTCTGATGAAGACTGACTGCTGTCACTGCTAGTTGATCCAGAGCGTTTTTTCTTTTTATCCCGACTCCGCTCCTTCTTCTTTTTATCCTTATCGACAACCATTGCCGGTGAAGCGTTTTTAGCCATTAACACGATATTTTCCTAGACTTCCAACAGAAGCACTTTTTCGGTCGCGATATGCAACATACAGCGTTAAAAATTTAATACAAAAGGAATTAAAGAATCATATAGAAATATACATAGCGAAAACAATTCTTAAAAAAATATCAACCACCTTTCCGCGACATATAAATCCATAGGCATAAATAAAAATAGATACTGCCGAGCGTTGAAACAGCAAAGATATGACCAAACTGCATGCAGCGCTCTGGGAAGGCAAAGAAATAAAATGCGTTTGAGAATCGACCTTTTTTCTTAATTAATAATTATTAGATCTTCAAATTTCAAAATATAATAATTAAAGTTTTTATTGAAATCATTCTTATTAATACTTTATTCCGAAATATTTATAAAAAATCGATTCCAATTATAAATATCGATACCGGCAGAACTTATCGATAAGTGTCTTCCTCGTATGGCGTTTACTGGCGTTTACGTTTACTCGGCCATTTTGATCTAATTGTTGAAGGAGTACCTACTGCTTCAGCGCTGACCAATTTAAAATTTGTGTTGGTTAACTCGAGCAGTAAGAATATATAAAAATGGTAATTATAATACTTACATCATATTTGTTCTTTTATATCATGCATTAAATCTTTTTGCCTTATGTTAATAGTGTTCGATTTGAGGTTACATATACACGTGTTATCTCAGTAATTTTTCGTGCGAATTTTCTTTGCATTAATGTTATTTTGATTGTAGGCTGCAGTTGGCAAAGATTTAGAAAAACCAACAGCTGAGGTGCCTCAGGTCCATCGCATCCGTATAACTTTAACTTCAAGAAATGTACGTTCATTGGAGAAAGTATGTACCGATTTAATAAATGGAGCCAAGAAACAAAAGCTCCGTGTGAAGGTGAGTTTTTTTTACTTATATTGTTCTTCTTAGTATGCACATGAATTGCAGATTTACTGATCTATGTAAATCTACATTTACGAGATGTGCTATATAAAACAGTAGGTTAAAGTGAGTTTGAGTTGATTGCTGTATACTCATACTTTCATCAATTTACAACAAATAACTGGCTATGTAAATAGAGTGTTTTCGGCATATTTGAGTCATAAATGAAATTTCATATTAGTCTCGTATATAATTCTTCAACCCAGTTTTTTTTTATTATCAGGGACCAGTTCGCATGCCAACCAAAATCTTGCGTATTACCACACGTAAAACACCTTGTGGTGAAGGTTCAAAAACTTGGGATCGCTTCCAAATGAGAATCCACAAAAGAGTCATCGATCTGCACTCTCCATCTGAAATTGTGAAGCAAATCACTTCCATCAGTATTGAGCCAGGTGTAGAGGTTGAAGTAACAATCGCTGATGCTTAAATTTTGTAAATTGATGGAAATAAATGACAAAACCTAATTTTTACATGTTCTTACTTATACTGCATTGTTTAATCGATTTTGAGGTGAATATGTCTGAGGGGAATGCATTAATAAGATTCCTATTTACAGGGACAACATATAAACACCAAGGAGTGTTTTGAGGATATGATAAGTGCCCACATAATTATGTCTTGGTTTTGTAATCGTATGAACATTAATCACATGTGAGTGAATGTTAATTGTTCATATTAATAAATTCACAAACGCGTCAACAAGTATTGGGCTCCCAACCGCTTGTTATTAAAGTATTAAATTTAACAATAAAAGTTTAATTTTTTAACTAATGTACAAATAAAATCTCCAAATATTTTGGCAATATTTCCCATAAGTAATTCCTTCTGTAGATGACGTGGATCAAAGTGGCATTCAATTTGATCATGTTTTTATAATACATAAATAATAAATTCTTATTTATTTCTTTTTTCTGTTAATACAGTTTATATTTCATTTAACTTCATGTTGTTCAACACAAAAACTTAATTTTTAAGGTTGTGGTAACATTGTAACATTTATCATGGCGGTTGTTTGCCCTGCCCAGTCGTGTTTTGACAGCGGTTATGTGAAAGTGTGTAAAAGTGCACGAGAATATTTTATTTACAATTTGAAATGTAAGTTTAATCCTATAATATGAATTTATACTTGACAAATATATTCTACTGACCCTACAAATTGCACATAAATTCGTTGAAATAATACTGCAACGCTTATTTACAACTTTGTTATTTGTAACCTCATATAAGGGTTATAACAAATAATAAATGAATTTGAATTTCTATTGGTTAAATATAGCAAATTCTTACTCTGGCATATTTATATGCACTTTCTAAAGTCCAAGTCTAAATTTTTGCACAATCTTATAATATTAGAGATTTTTGTTTTATTTGTGAGGGCTTACAGGGGCATAGCCCTATAGTGTCTTGCTCATCTGTCAATAGTCTGAAAAATTCATAATTATAGTACAAATTTATTCTATTGCTGAGTGACGTACGAAAATTATTTTCGTAGTAAATAAATATTCAGAAACTTGCAATCTTCATGTTATTTTTTTATAATGCTTCAAAATTCATCTCCTAAGCTTAAAAATTATGTTAACACCGTGGTTTCCAACCTGTGGGGCTCGACCCCTAAGGGGATGTACTTTCAATATAATATTTTCTTAAAATAAACTAAAAACGTTGAAATGATATAAAAAATGAATGAGTATATATTTATTTTTATATCAGTTGATTGTTACAAAAATTAAGGGGGCAGCATTAGTTTTTCAAAAAACTATGGGGGGTGGTGTGTAAAAAAAGTTGGAAGCCACTGTATTAGTAGTAGACATCATAATTGCACTAGTTTTTAATTGGGATCAATCCGATTTTTTTTATTAAAACACATAATACGTGTAAAATTTTATTATTTGATTTCAATAGTTTAACATGTTGTAATCTGATGAATACTACGTGATTTTCTAGTTATTCATTATTTAATTGGATCGAATGTAATAAAAGTGGTAATTTGGTGCCAGACAGACTGGAGACATCTAACCATAAATATATAACTATATTATACCCTCATATACACATACACTGAAGTTACAAATCACAAATCTTCATTTTTGGAACTGAATTTTTTATATCCTATATCAAAAAAAATCAAGTTCATATTACAAGTTGTTTGACTTTTCATATATTATATTCAGCATTGTAACTCCATTTCTCAAGAATATTCATTTTCACAATCAATTTTTTCCTATTTTATTGAAACTTCTTCATATTACGACAGTGCATCATCTTCACATTTATACTGTAAATATACAGTCTAACTTTTCTAATTATACAGTACAATCAATTTTTATATCAGCATATACAGTTTTATACAAAAGACTATGAAAACTGACTAGATCATCTTCACGTCTATACTGTAAATATACAGTCTAACTTTATTAAGTATACAGTACAATCAATTTTTATATCAGCATATACAGTACCAGGATACGATCCGAGTACTTCTGTCGGAAAATTAAAAAGACTATGAAAACTGACCAGACCTCAGTATAAAAAATGGCTAAAAATCTATTCATATTTACATAGTATTTTCAACCTCGTAGTAGACGTAGTCAATTTATGAACGAATTATTATTTAAATTAGTAAATGTTACTGAAACGAAAATTTAAAGTACTTACAATTTTCTTCTTTTGGTGATTGTTAATTTTTAAAACAAAATAATTTATAATATTTTTGTTTTCTCTTTGCAGATTGAAGATTATATTCAGCTGTTGGCGGATACCGGCTTCTAATATCGATGCCAAAATAGGTAAGTTCATTAGTTTTAATTCCATATTTTATGTATCATCGAATGTTTACAATTATCAACTTATTTTTAGAAGTTTTAAGTTATGTTAAACAGTACTTTAGATAACATATTATGTTCCAAGATTTGATCGTCATAACTATTTTTAACTAAAGTGTTCTCATCGCCGCGATTTCTGAACATTTAGCTTTAACTAACTATAATTGAGGTCTGTTGATGTTTCCTATATAAATTGTGATTCGTAAATGCTTTTAAGACATTATAATTTTTTTAAATAGACTCCATGGTCGCCTTTCAAATAACTTTAGGCTAATAATAATTCTATTGTATGTGAGGGACCGTCTAAAATAATGACTATACTATTTTTGTAAAGCTTTTTCGTAGCTCCGTGGTAAGAGCTTTGGTCTTGCAACCACAGGTTCCTGAATTATTTGAATACCAAAAATATTCCAGTCTTGAAAATCATCAAATCATACAAATTTTATTTTTACTATTTATTTTTGCAGTCGGTTGAAGTTTTTTTTAATTTTTAGCATTGTTTGCACTTTTTTCCTGTCTGCTTCATATTTATTATTTTACTTACTACAATAAATTCAGATTCCAATTTCATGACTTTGTTCATCGATGGTTATAAGTAATTGGTAATACATACAGATGTATATGTTTTGTTGTTTGTTTATTTTTAACATGTGCTACTTTTCGCTATTAACCAGTTTTTCACATAAACAAAGAGCTGATTAAGTTTATTATCTGGCTTTGCTCTTGAAAATTTTAAGAAAACCATTTATAAATGCTTTGAAAAATAAAACATTTTTCTATAAACTAAAAATATCTATAAACGCCTTATAAAGGATTTTTTATATCCGGCTTTGTTCTTGAAAACGTCAAGAAAAATATCTGTAAAGGATTTTTTTTGAGTTCCATATTTTAGTAATTCAATAACATCCTAACAAAAACTATTGATTTTGAAATATGTCAAAATAATAATTTAGAGATCTCTTGAGATTTTTATCTGATGTGAAAAAATCTTATTTAAATATTTATATTATTTCAGATGCTAAATGAAGATGTTTTTTTTTTTTATTTGACCAACAATCAGAACTTTGTGTTCTATGAGGTGTTGTGATATTATTCTTTAACATTCCTAGGGTCATTAGAAAGCAACCCAATGGTTGACCATTCTCTTCTTGACGAGATTTTAATTGGATTTTTTCTGTAATAGAGATTTGATGTAGCATATGTATATATATATATATATATATATATATATATATATATATAATACGTGCCGCGTTACCTTGAATCAGTTGTTACTATTAATTATTATTAGTTATGATGTTCTTTTGCACAAGTTTAGTGCTTAATAAACTTCATATAATTTTTTCAATTTTATATAATTATAATTTGTGGTTGTTGAAAATACTTCAGCATATTTTTCACTTAAGAAAATATGAAAGATTTCTTTCAGCGGCTTTGCAAATTTGTTTTAAATTTCATTCTATATTATTATGAACATAACTAGGTCTAGGTCTAGGTCTAGGTAGGTGTCTATCAAGTTTTATCAGTTTGTATATATAAATATTCCAATTAGGGCCATAATTTCACGAGAGGAAGAGAGTATTATCATTTATATATAAACACGTTTATAAATCACTTCACTTATGAGCTTTCTCCGCCTTTCGCCCTGAACCGGGTCATTGCCAAGTTTTCTTCAAATGCATAGGTGTCCGGTTAGAATTTAATAAAATACGTATATATTGATTAATATGATGGACAAAACTTAATGACATGATATGATAATAATTAAATAATATTTATTATACAGCATGTGGTACGATAAAATTGTGTAAAAAATAATTACACGCTCTTTGCTGGATATGCTTCCTCACAATGGATTTTTATTTAAAAAAATATTATATTTGTTTCCATTTGAGGTTGATTCCATACAATTTGTTATATTTTTCTTTACCATTGTGCTTCACAAATATTTTCTAGTAGACCACGAACAAACAACTTTTCACAATAGCAATGATGTGTAGAAGCCAGATTTTCTTTTGTTCGCCTAATGGGGTTTTCAGTAAAGAAAATGTGCGAAGCAATTCGAATCGCATTATGAAGACTTGTAGATATTTATTTGTATCATTATTATTTGAACAACAATCTAAACTATTTTCTGCTACTTACATTTATTAGAAGGCATAAAGACTGAATGCTATTACTTACATTTATTGGAAGGCATAAAGACTCATTGGTCTGTTTTTTGGAGATGAGATGAAACTTTTGGTAAAATTAGATAAGGATCCGTTGATTAGTTTTTAAACTCCTGAACTGATTTTGAAAATTCTAAAACTATCTGAAAGATATCAGTTGAGAATCGTGTTGACTAGTTTTTTTTTGTAAAGATCGATCCGCTTTTTGTTGTTTAAAAAAATTGTTTCAGATGATTTAAATGAAACTTTGTATAAAGCATAGGTTGTGTCGTGGACCCCTTAGACTTTGCCATGGCTCCTTATTTAGCCGATTTCGATTTTTTTTTAATAAATTTGTATTTGTACTAACGTTTAGTATTAAACATTTACAATAAAGATACTAATCCAAATTAAGACATTTATTAATTGAGGTAATAATAATAATAAAATAGATATAAACAAGTCGAGTTGTGATCCACTATCGTGAATCTC